TCTGTATTTTGATTGCTGATGTCTACTTCTGATCACAGAGATGTGTCAGTAAGGTAGATGGCTGTTGTTGTTACACTTCCTCCCTCTCCAGCTGAAGTGACTTCCAGGAGATTTAAAGAGCTGGTCCTCTATTTATGTCAGTCCTTTTCCCCTGTGAGGAGCTAGATGTTAAAGACTAGGACATTGAAAAGCAGATGCATGTAAGAGAAAAATTACAAAGTGACTGTGAATTCCTAGGCAAAGGTGGAGGCTCAGGAAACACCTGAGAAGACTGGAGTTTATACCTCCAGCTGATCTTTGGCAAAGAGACAGCCTACAATAATTATAATAATATAATTATAATTATATTATAATTATAATTATAATAACAAACTCTCCCAGCATTCTGGATTGTGAGTTTGAGTCTAGCCTGAGCTAAATATCGACAACTTATCTCAAAAAAGCCAAACAAGCCAGATTGGTGCATGTGCCTGTAATCTCAGCACCTGGGAAGCTGGGGCAAGAGGATCACTAGTTTGAGGCCAGCCTGGGCTCCATAGTGAGAACTTGCCTCAAAAACAATACCAAAAAAACCCAGCAACAACAACAAAAAATCAAACTTGGGAGTGCGAGATTCTGATTTTCTTCTTCTTCTTCTTCTTTTTTTTTTTTTTGTGGTACTAGGGTTTGAAATCAGGGCCTACACCTTGAATCACTCCACCAGCCCTGTTTTTTTTGTTTTTTTTTGTGATGGGTTTTTTTGAGATAGGGTCTTGAGAACTATTTGTCCCAACTGACTTTGAACCATGATCCTCCTGATCTCTGCCTCCTGAGTAGCTAGGATTACAGGCGTGAGCCACCAGTGCCCAACAAGATTCTGATTTTCTGAATTACCATGTTAGTAGATTCAATTTCTCAGTTTTCAAGAACAAAAGAAAAAAATCACAAGGCATACAGAGAAATAGGAAAGTGTGCCCCATTCAAAGGGAAACAATAAATCAAACAGAATTGTCCTCAAGAAAGACCTGGTAGTGGACCTAGTAGACAAAGACTTAAAATAATTGTCTTAAAGATGCTAAAAAAAAAAAAAAACCTAAAGGGAGATACAGAGAAAGGCAAGAAAATGATGTATAAATAAAATGTAAATATTAATAAAGAAAAAAAACCTTAAGAACAAAAAGTATCTGGGCGCCAGTGGCTCACACCTGTAATCCTAGCTACTCAGGAGGCAGACATCAGGAGGATCATGGGTCGAAGCCAGCCTGGGTAAATAGTTCGTGAGACCCTATCTCAAAAATATTCGTCATAAAAAAGGGCTGGAAGAGTGGCTCAAGGTGAAGGCTCTGAATTCAAGCTCCAGTACCGCCAAAAAAAAAAAAGGAAAAAGTTCTGGAGGTAAGAAATACAGTAATTTAAAAAATTCACTAACAGGCTCCAAGGCAGATCTGAGCAGGCAGAAGACTCTGTGAACTTAAAGATAGGACAATTGAAATGATCAGGTCTAAGGTACAAAAAGAAGAGTTGGGCTGGTATGGCTCAAGTGGAAGAGCACCCGCTCAACAAGCGCAGGTCCTGAGTTCAAACCCCACTTTTACAAAAAAAAAAAAAAAGTTTTTAGAAAACTTTCGGGATATTATTAGGCAGACGGACTTATATCATGAGAGTTATAGAAGGGAAAAAGAGAAGGAGAAAGGGGAAGAGGAACTATTTGGATAAGTAAGGACTAAAAACTTCCCAAATTTGACAAAGACATGAATATAAGCATTCAAGAGGTTCAGTGAACTCAAAGACCCTCCCCCCCGCATGAAAACATAATTTTCAAAAGTGAAAGTCAAAGAGGGAATCTTGAAAGCAACAGGAGAAAAATTACTTATCTCAATAAGATAATGATAATAAGATAAAGTTTCTTATTTCAATATGATAAAGTTTCACAGAAACTTTAGAGGCTAGAGGGCAGTGAGCTGATAAATTCGAAGTGCTAAAAAAACCCCAAAAACCAAACTTGTCAACTTAGAATTCAATATCTGGCAAAACTGTCCTTCAAAAGTGAGGGAGAGAACCGGAAGTGTGTCTCAAATGGTAGAGCTCTTGCTAGGCCCAGAGTTCAATCTCCAGTAATGGAAAAAAAAAAAACTTAAGGACCTGTACTGCAAGATGTACTCAAAGGAGAACTCCAGGTGGGGAATGAAAAGACATTACACACTGGTGGCTCACGCCTGTAATACTAGTTACTCAGAAGGCAGAGATCAGGAGGATCAAGTTTGAAGACAGCCTGGGCAAATAGTTCATAAGACCCTATCTCGAAAACATCCAACACAAAACAGGGATGGCAGAGTGCCTTAAAGTGTGGACCCTGAGTTCAAACCCCAGTACTACAAAAAAAAATTTTTTTAAATCTTTACCTCTTAAAATGGCTTTTGTGTGGTGTGTGTGTGTGTGTGTGTGTGTGTGTGTGTGTGTGTTGTGTGTGTTGATGGGTTTTTTTGAGATAGGGTCTCTTGAACTAATTCCCTGGACTGGCTCTGCCTCCTGAGTAGCTAGGATTACACGTGTGAGCCACCAGCACCCAGCTTATCTTGTGATTTCTTCATTGATCAACTTGTTTTTTTGGTTGTTTTTGCGCTACTGGGGCTTGAACTCAGGGCCTTCACCTTGAGCCACTCCACCAGCCCTACTTTTACAGGCATGAGCCACTGGCACCCAGCAATATTTTAATTTTTTTAAGTTGCAAAAGAAAAAATACTAATAAAGATCAATATAGCTAACTAATGTTCAATGAAAGCCTATTTGGAATTGTTACAATGAATCCCTCCTGTACAATAAATATATCCTAATAAAAAAATTGATATTAAGGAAAAGGTTAATACAGAAGGAAGATATAACAATTATAAACATTTAAGTGTCTAATAACATCATCAGAACACATGAAGCAAAAAATTACAGACTTTCAGGGAGCAATTGGCAGTTACACAGTAATAGCTGGAGACTTTCATGTCCCTTGTCAATAATGGATAGAAAAACTAGAAGGAAGATAAATAAGGAAATTTAATGCAGTAAACTAACTAGACCTATTATGCAAGTACAGAACACTCTGCCCAACCACAATAGCATACAGTCTTATCAAACTTCTGTAGAAATTTTCCAAGATAAACTTACATTAGGTCACATAATGTGTATCTCTAATTTAAAAAGAGATATCAAACAAAGTACTTTTCATCCCAATCACAATATGATGAAGAGAAATTAATAACAGAAAATCGATAAATTTGTGGAAATTAAACACCACTCTTAATTAAAATAACAAATGGGCCGGGAGCTGGTGTCTCACGCCTGTAATCCTAGGAGGATTGGTTTAAAGCCAGCCCAGGTGAATAGTTCGACACCCTATATTGAAAAAACTCAACACACACACAAAAAAAAGGCTGGTGGAGGGGCTCAAGCAGTAAGAGCACTATGTAGCAAGCGTGTGGCCCTGAGTTGAAACCCTAGTGCTGCCACAAAAAAAGAAAAGAAAAGAAGTCTCCTGGCAAAAATCAAAGGGACATGATGGCTTCATCAGTGTTTGGCTTCAACCAAACATTTAAAGAACAAATAACACTATTCCATCTCAAACTTTTCCAAAAATTAAAGAAGAAACACTTTGTAACTCATTCTACCAGGCCAGAATTACTCTGATAAGAAAACGAGACAAAGATACCATCAGAAAAGAACATTACACACTAATATTCCTATGAACATTGATACAGAAATCCTTAACAAAATATTAGTATCCTGAATTCAGCAGTATGTTCAAAGAATTATACCCCATGATCAAAGTGAGATTTACTCTGCATTCATGGATTGGAACACTTAGTATTGTTAAGATGTCTGTACTGTTCACAGTTACCAACAGGTTCAGTTCAACTGTTGTAAAATTCAGGAACTTTGTTGGCAGAGTGGCTGAAATGGTAGAGTACCTACCTAGCAAGCATGAGGACCTGAGTTCAAACCCCAGTACTGATAAAAATTCCACTTTGTTTGTAGAAGTAGGAAAACCCATTGTAAAATTCATGTGGAATCTCAAGGAATCCCAAGTTAAAATGGGAAGCAATTCAAGTCTTCATTAAAAGATGAATAGAGGCCAGCATGATGGCTCACACCTATAATCCTGGCTACTCAGAAGTCAGAGAACGGGAGGATCTTGGTCTGAGGCTAGCCTGGACAAAAAAGTTCACAAGACTCCATCTCAACCAATGGCTAGGCCTGGTGGCACATGCCTGTCATCCCCAGCTACATAGTAAGGCAAAAATAGACTTGTGGTCCAGGCCTGCTCAAGCATAAAGTAAGACCCTAACTCAAAAATAATCTCAAAAAAACAAAACAAAACAAAAAAAACCCACTCAAAGAGGGCTGGGGCCGTGGCTTAAGCAGTAAAGCACCTGCCTAACAAGCATGAGGTCCTGAGTTCAACCCTCAGAACTTCCAAACAAAGATGAATAGATAAAGCTGAGCATGGTGGTACACACCAGTAATCACAGCACTTGGGAGGCTGAGGCAGGAGGAAAAAGAGGCCAGCCTGGGCTATGTAACGAGACCCTCTCAAAAACAAAAACAATAGAAAAGCAAAAGATGAACAAATAAGCAGAACGTGGTATATACATACAATGGAGTATTATTCATTCTTTAAAAAATGAAGGAAATGCCGACAAATGCCATATATCATGAATCTTTAGGACATGGTGTTAGATGAAGTAAACTAGTCAGGGAAAAAGTACATTTAAAATGGTTAATATAATTTTATATCCTGTGTATTTTAATATAATTGAAAGGAAAGGCAGGATCCTAGTAAGGAAAAGGAGGTTTTTAAGAGATTTGATTGTCTTTCTGACTTGGATAGGTTTCTAATCAGGAACACAGCGGGGGTGGGGGTGGGGGCCTGCAGCCCAGTGGAGCTTTCACTCCTTTGGTTCTGTCTGCCTTGCTTCATGTTCTGCATGCCTATCTGGTTACAGGCTTATTTGTTTGGATGTCTTCTGTCTTAGGGGAGGATGGAATCCATCACTGCAGTGAAGCTGCTGAGCTGCTTCGATGACCTTGTGGCAGCCGGCACTGCCTCCGGGAGGGTTGCAGTTTTTCAACTTGTATCTTCATTACCAGGGAGAAATAAGCAGGTAAGAACTTGTTGTGTTAGCATTTCTTCACTTCTTGGCAAATTCTTCATGGATAAAAGTGAGAAACCCTCCTCTGCCTAGCAGATGTATGCTCAGTGTAATACTGTGCTGTTGTAACCAGTCACATTCCTGCTTGAACACTTGGCATAAGGCACATGTAAGGCCTTCATGTTTGCCTAATGCTCTCCTGTGTTCTCTGTGAGGTCTGTTTTTTCAAGACAGGATCTGGCTGGGTAGCCCAGGGTGGTCTCAAACTCATGGTCTTCTTGCCTCCTGTGTGCTGGGATTAGCAGGCATGTACCACCACACCTGCTTCTATGTGAGTTTTGAATGTGGAAAAAAAGATGAAACCTTTGTGCATAAATAAGAGTGATAGCCACATAGCCCTAAGTCACAGCATTAATCATTTTCCTTGTGTGTGTTTTTATTGTTTGCTAATAGCTTCGAAGATTTGATGTTACCGGTATTCACAAACATAGCATTACTGCTCTGGCTTGGAGCCCCAATGGAATGAAACTGTTCTCTGGAGATTGAACAAAGCGGAAAATTGTCAGCTTCTCTGGATCTAGGACCAGGTGACATGAATTTTAGAAATATTGTTGGCTCTTGCCCTTTTATATTCAGAATAATTATACTCATAATTGTATTTCAGCTCGTTTGCTTGTATTCCTGATTATAATTCCTTTCTGATGTCACTTATTTGTAACTTGTTCTTTCATTGGTTTTTCCAGTGTTTATTTATTCTTTATTTTATTTCATTTTTTCTTTTATTATTCATATGTGCATACAAGGCTTGGTTCATTCTCCCCTCTCCCCACCCCCTCCCCTCCCCCCACCAGATACCCAGCAGAAACTATTTTCCTTATTTCTAATTTTGTTGTAGAGAGAGTATAGACAATAATAGGAAGAACAGAGGGTTTTTGCTGGTTGAGATAAGGTTGCTATACAGGGCATTGACTCACATTGATTTCCTGTGCGGGTGTTACCTTCTAGGTTAATCTTTTTTTGATCTAACCTTTTCTTAGTACCTGTTCCCCTTTTCCTATTGCCTCAGTTGCTTTAAGTATCTCTTTAGTTTCTCTGCGTTAAGGCAGCCACAAATGCTAGCTATTTTTTTAGTGTCTTTACCTATCCTCAACCCCCTCCCTTGTGTGCTCTCGCTTTTATCATGTGCTCATAGTCCAATCCCCTTTGTTGTGTTTGCCCTTATCTAATGTCCACTCATTCTCCCCCTGCCCCCACCCCTCCCTCTCCCCCCTCAATACCCAGCAGAAACTATTTTGCCCTTATTTCTAATTTTGTTGTAGAGAGAGTATAAGCAATAATAGGAAGGAACAAGGGTTTTTGCTGGTTGAGATAAGGATAGCTATACAGGGCATTGACTCACATTGATTTCCTGTGCGTGGGTGTTACCTTCTAGGTTAATTCTTTTTGATCTAACCTTTTCTCTAGTCCTGGTCCCCTTTTCCTATTGGCCTCAGTTGCTTTAAGGTATCTGCTTTAGTTTCTCTGCGTTAAGGGCAACAAATGCTAGCTAGTTTTTTAGGTGTCTTACCTATCCTCACCCCTCCCTTGTGTGCTCTCGCTTTTATCATGTGCTCAAGTCCAATCCCCTTGTTGTGTTTGCCCTTGATCTAATGTCCACATATGAGGGAGAACATACGATTTTTGGTCTTTTGGGCCAGGCTAACCTCACTCAGAATGATGTTCTCCAATTCCATCCATTTACCAGCGAATGATAACATTTCGTTCTTCTTCATGGCTGCATAAAATTCCATTGTGTATAGATACCACATTTTCTTAATCCATTCGTCAGTGGTGGGGCATCTTGGCTGTTTCCATAACTTGGCTATTGTGAATAGTGCCGCAATAAACATGGATGTGCAGGTGCCTCTGGAGTAACAGTCTTTTGGGTATATCCCCAAGAGTGGTATTGCTGGATCAAATGGTAGATCGATGTCCAGCTTTTTAAGTAGCCTCCAAATTTTTTTCCAGAGTGGTTGTACTAGTCTACATTCCCACCAACAGTGTAAGAGGGTTCCTTTTTCCCCGCATCCTCGCCAACACCTGTTGTTGGTGGTGTTGCTGATGATGGCTATTCTAACAGGGGTGAGGTGGAATCTTAGCGTGGTTTAATTTGCATTTCCTTTATGCTAGAGATGGTGAGCATTTTTCTTTCCAGTGTTTATAAGCTCCATCTTCTGTGATACAGATGCATGCTGACATTCACTTATTTTTTTAATTTTTAACTGAATAACACATAAAAATTGCTCATTTATGGTTCTCATGTGATGTTTCAAACATGTATCCATTGTTTTGCAATTTTCAAATCAGAGCGAACTCACCTTTTCCATTCTCCTGTTCTCATGGCTACTACTTAGGAAAGAAGCTACTATCCTTCCTGATTCCTTGAAAGGTTTGCAGAAGGGATACAAAACATTTTCTAATCACAGCTCTTAATGGCGAGCCCACCTCTAGCCAAACCTGGCCTGTGTAAGTTGACCTCCTGTGGGAGGAAGTGGCAGAGGAGGAAGGTTTGGCAGGAGCACAGTTTTAATCCTCATAGCAGCACTTGGAGCTGTGTGCGCTCATCCTCAAGATCTACCAACCAGCCCAGAGACATAAACTCAGGCCTGGCAGGCTCACTTCAAATCAAGGCTCTGCTCTGAAGCTCAGGCCTTTCCTACTGCATGTGGGGCTTTCTGATTGTCTGGACTTTATTTGTTTTGTAGTGACTTGCCAACTGGACTGAACACTTGAAGTACTATTCTTTCCTTTTGTCATTAATAGCCTTTGTTACCCATGCTAAGTTCCAAGAATTTAACAATTATTAGCTGAGTGGCTTCCAGTTTCTCTGATCCAAGATTGAATGAACTATTACAAATATTCTGCAGTGGTAGTTCCTAAAGTTTCTGATCGCAGGATCTCTTTACAATCTTAAAAAGACAATCCCAGAGAATTTTGTTTGTATGAGCTATATCTATCAAATATACCATGTTAAAAATTAAGACAGAAATTTAAAAATATTTATTAGTTGTATTTTGAAATAATAATAAACCCACTATCTATTAACATAAATAACATTTTTTTGTGAAAATAACAATAATTTCAAGGCAAATGAGAAGAGCCAGTGACTCACACCTGTAATACTGGCTACTTGAAAGTCTGAGATTGGATGGATTGAGGTTCCAGACCAGCCCGGGCAAATAGTTTCTCGAGACCCCATCTCCAAAATAACCAGAGCAAAATGGGTTGGGGGTGTGGCTCAGGCTTTAGAGTGCCTGCTTTGCAAGTGAGAAGCCCTGAGTTCAAACCCCAGTCCCACCCCCACATCAAAATGAGAAGGGTGGCATTACTTTATATTTTGCAAATCTCTTTAATGTCTGGCTTAGTAGAAGGCAACTAGAGTCTGCATTCAATCTGCCATAGTACATTGTTTTGGTTGATGTAGTTAAAGGAAATGTGACCTCTAGCAGATGTGTAGTCAGAAATGGTAGGAGTATTTTGATAGCCTTCTCTAATAATAAAGAAAATATTTTCTTTAACAATATCCCCAGATTGACAAGTGGTAGTTTCTTTAAAGGTTCTAGTTACAAATGACATGTAGGAGTTTTGTTTGTTTCTCTGAGTGGTACTCAGGACTTCACACTTGCTAGGTAAGTACTGCATACTACTTGAGCCATGCCCCCAGTCCGACATGGTAGTTTCTTTTTTGGTGGGACTGGTGTTTGAACTCAGGGCATTGTGCTTGAAAAGCAGGTGCTCTACCACTTGAGCCATACCTCCAGTCCATTTTGATCTAGTTATTTTGGAGATGGGGGTCTCCCAAACTATTTGCCTGGACTGACCCGGAACTGTGATCCTCCCAATTTCCCATCCTCAGCATCCCAAATAGCTAGTATTATAGGTGTGAGCCACTAGCACCTAGCTCTAACAGGGCTTTCTTTCTTTTATTTTCCTCTCTGAATTGTCCATGTGATGGACAGTTTTACAAATTAGTAAAAAAAATTGTCCATAAGCACTCTGAAAAAAATTTTAAGAGATGCAGTATTTTATGATTGAAAAAAAAAAGATGTAAAGAATGCACATTTTTGTAAAATGCAGCATAACTTAATCCCTTCATAAGCTAAATTTAAAACTGAAAAACTACATTTTTATTAACTATGTGATTGGAATCTGTCTTCAAAGTCCTCGATGTTTGGGGGGAATGGAAATTTGTCCATCTTGATAGTAGTAGTTACACAACTACAAATTTGTCAAAATTCATGTCAAAAACCTAAAATGGTAAATTTTATTGTGTGTAAATTTTAATAGTAACTCTGACCACTGTTCCCTTCTGACCCCTCAAGAGTTTATAATTTTGCAGCAATGTTTCTTAAACAATGATGAAACTGCTTCAAGAGAAGAGTGACTTACAGAAGCAGAAGAGGAAATTTTTTTTTGTTTTGTTTGAGACAGACTGTCCCATGTAGTCCAACCTTAACTTCCAAAACGTTGTGATCCTCCTGCCTCATTCTTCCTATGCTGAAATTGCAGGCATGTGATTCCCAGCTTAGAAGCAGATTTTTGACTTCCTGAAATATAGTTTTGTGTGTAGCAGTTAAAATATCTTTTTAGAATTTCACTGGTGGGTATGTGTATTAAAATACTTTTGTTATATTATTCTTACATTCTTAATACCATTTTATTTTTTTTAACCTCTTGCTTTCTGTAAGTGTTTCAGTTTGGAAAGGATTGCAACGTCCCCAACTGCTTTTGAACTCTGTAGAGGAAGAGTATAATAGGAGAGTTGACGTAGTCGTCATAAACTGTATTAGAAAGTCTCCCATGGTGTTTTATAATAAAAATACATAATGCACATGGCTTAAGGCATTTCTGTTTAGATCTTTATGAATTCGTCTTTGAACCCATTTGTTGAGAATGTTTCAAGAGAAATGACACAGAGTTTTATAGATGTTTTCTTCTTTTTTGCGGTGGGCATTCTTTGGGTTTGAACTGAAGTCTTCACAATTGCTAACTGGCACTCCACCAACTGAAGCTATGCCCCTAAACCATTTTTACTTTAGCTTGTTTTTCAGATAAAAGTCTTGGTGATTTTTTTCCTGACTGGCTTTGGACTATATATCCTTCTCCTGAGTATCTGAGTTATTAAAGCATGTACTACTGTGCCTAGCTTAAAAGCTTTCTTTTAAGTGTTATTGTAACATGGGATGCATGTTAATATATTATGTATTTTCTTATTAGTAGGGTCTTTTCCAGTTCACTGCAGTAGGTTGGACACTGAATCTGGAGGAGAATTAAAGCATACTTTTTAAGGTGTAGCTTGCCTTTAGGTCAACTAGTAAAAAGCATGCTTTATTTGTTGTGGGAGGGAAGTCAGGTGATTTTTTGCCTCAACATTGACCTTAGGCTTCTGGCCCTCTCGCAGGGGGTCTGCAACTCGCACTTGGTGTTAGAAGAGCCATCTTCCATTGTGCAACTGGATATAGCCAGAAAGTGCTGCTTGTCTCTACCTTGCAAAGAAGTCTGCTCTTTTACACTGAAGAAAAGTCTGTTTAAGCAGATCGGTAACCCAGCCAAGGAAAAGGTAAAGCTACATCAGCTTCAGTTTGCTCTCAGTGTTGGGCCTTCTTTCAGAAGCAGCTTTCAAGTTCTGACTTTCCCACTTTGCCACATGTGCGCCCACAACTACTCCAATCTGGGCCTTTCTGGTGGCCTGTGCTTGCCTAGGACACCTCATGGAGTGCTTTGGTTGAGGAGCTGCAGGGACCTGCGGGTTGCAGCCATACCACCTTGGGAATATGCTGTTGTGTCCTCTCCTGGTTGCGAATCCCCCACGGCCCCGGGGACTCAGCATGAGTTTATTGAGTGCCTCTGTTCCTAGATGCTGGGGCTACTGCTTGCAGGTTCAGGGTGACCTGGTAGAAGGGCAAATGTTGAGCTCTCTTAATTGAAGCCAAAAATTCAGACAGATCTCTGCCTGACAGTTGTAACTGCTCTGGAGCATCATCCAGGTGCTATAGGAAGTATAAATAGACTCATCTGGGGCAGGGATCTGCAGTCATGGGCCTGCCTGCTCAGTGGGAGTAAGCAAGAAGGGAAGGTCCAGGCTGAAGAGGATATCCCTCTTTGACCAGCCTGCTGGAGGAAGGACAGCCAAGGTTAGGCCCACGATCTCCCGCCAATCAGCCATATGGAGAAAGACAGGTGGTACATCTGTGTGACCCACAATTCACCGGTCTTCACCCTGCTGGAAAAATGACTGCAGCACTCACAGCTAGTTTGTGTACATGGATGGGGAAAGGGAGCATGGTGGGGGTAGAACAGTGAAATTGGCCCCTGATCCTGGGGCACAAGGAGCCAAGATGGTCATGGGGAGCAGGGGCATTGGCACAGGCAGATTGTTGACTGCCTGGTGGAAGTAGAGGAGCAGTTGCTTTGTGTCTCCCGCGCCCTTCTTCCTGTCAGTAAAGGGGCACTGTTGCCGCAGAGGATCAGGCAGGTGCAGTAGACCAAGGAACAGCACAGGGTGTGAGGGCAGACTCTGTGGAGAGTGAGGAGATTGGGAAGGCCCCAGGGGCTTATGATACCATCCATGATGGCCATCAGGGAAGGCTCAGGTGAGGTCAGCAGGTGCAGCCAGCCTCTGTAGGCCTGTCCAGTCTGTTCTGTATCCTGCACTTCTCAGCAACACAGTAGAAGTTTATTCTCTTGTCTTCATGGCAGCCCTTCAGCTATTAAGATTCAGCTAATACCTCCCCTTTGCTTTCTGTTTTCTCTGCTGAACACCTTAATTCCTTCAACAATCTGGTCTTTCCAGAACCAGAATCTCCCTATTGGTCCTGGAAACCTCAGTGAAATTTGCAGCCTGGTCATGGTAGTTCTGTAGAACTGACTTCTGACTTTCCTTCTGCTGGGCTTTTGGTCCTGACTCATCTCTCAGTCTTCCTGCACTGTGCCTTTTAGAAGGATGGTCGAGTGAAGCTGATTACTTTCCATGGGTCCTGTACCCAGCGGCCTCTTCTGAGACCTTACCTATTGTGTGGAGACCTAGGCAGTTTCTGTGAACTTCTCCTGGGTGTTGTATGGTCAGATCTTGGAGTAGCATTGACTAAAAGTGTACTCTGTGCCAGGGACTTATCCAGGATGCAGAAACATATGAATATGTCTCCTTTCTCAGAGGGAGAGATATTTTATAGGAGGTAGAGGAGGCCTGAGCTGATTGCTGAACTGAGGAGGGAATAAGCCATGAGAAGACCTTGAGGGAAGGCCTCAGGCAGAGGGGCCTCATAAGAGCAGCAAGGCCAGGGAATATAGGGCGAGGAGTGGGGGAGACCCCATCCCACAGGCTTTGTGGGCCCTGCTTGGGCTGTTTAACTCCAGTGCTGTGGCTACTCACAAAAGGGCTTTGCCCAGGCACTCTGGATGTTGCCTGGAAATGCACTGTGTGTGTGTGGTGAGGGAGGTGTCGGTAGGTATGGTAGCTTCAGGGGGATAGCGAGGGGCTCTGGGGTGGTCCAGGGAAGGGGGATGAGGCTAACAACAGGAAAGTTGGGGCAGGTGGTGGGAATGCTTCAAAGGCATCACTAACAGATTAATGGCTGGTTGTGGTGTGCGAGAGGAAGATTTGTCAGAAAAGATTCCTGGATGTGTGGCCTGAACAGACATGGAGAAGCTTAGGGAGGAGGAGCTTATGTGTCACAGTGTGTGTGTGTGTGTGTGTGTGTGTGTACACACAAGTCTCCCTTTCTTCTCCTCCCTGCCCCTCCCCTTTCCTTTCCCTTCCTTCTTTGTGCTCAGGGCCACCTGTATTGCTAAGTACACACTCTACCACTGAGTTACATCCCTGTTCTATGTTACATCATTTATGTGTTGCAGCCTTCTCACCTGTCATTGTGTTGCTAAAAGTCTAGTCCTCAAGGGGGTTGTTCAATCCAGATTGTCAACTTCAGTGCTTAGGAAATTAGTAAAGCACACTCCATATGTGTTGATGAGGCCATTTCCAGAGAGGATTAAGTAAGGGGCAAAGATCCATCCTGAATTTAGGTAGCACCATCCCATAGACTGGGAGTCCAGATAGATTAAAAGGGGAAAATGGAGAAAACCTGCTTAGCACAGGCATTCTCCCTGCTTCCTTTCTCCCACAAGGTGAACTGCTCTGCTTGCCATGCCCTCCCTACATGATGGACCAAAACCTCTGAAACTGTGAGCAAAATAAATTCTTCCTCCCTTAAGTTATTTTCTGTCAGGTATTTTATTTGTCACAACAATGAAAAATAACAGAGTAAGGAAAGCCTCTGTGGCAGTGGCACACTGCATATTGCAGTCAGTGTTACAGGTATGGAGGCTGCATCCAGGGCCAAAGCAGTGTCAAGTTCTGTCACTTGTCACCATCATGCCTATTCTGATGCCTTTGGTGTTTGGCTACTGAGATCTTGGCCAAGGTTTCTTTGGCTTATTCTCCTTACCCATCTTAGACTTGTATGCTCCTCCTTTGGGCTCTGTCAGCTCTCAGTATTTCAGGCCTATAGCAACATCAGTTATGTAGAAAATTTAAAAGATTTTTTATGGTTAGGACTTGTTAACCATACTTCTTTCAAGCTGGGTATGATGATGTACCCAATACAATCCCAGCACTCAGGAGACAGGCAAGGGATCATGAGTTCAAGGCTAGCTTGGGCTACATAGGGAGATCCTGTTTCAAAAAGAGAAAAGAAGAGGAAAAACTTCTTTCATACTAATATAACCCTTAAAGAGAATTAAAGTACTTTCAAGTTGGGGTTTTAGTGTCAAGTTCAGAATGTCATCAGCCAATGCTACAGGATCACATAACTGGTTGCTTTAGGACAAATCAAGGCTTTAGGACAATTTGTATCCATCTCTGGCTAGTTCTTCCCAGCTTACTGCATTCTGCCCTTTGTCAACTCCCTCACCAGGAAACATCTCTTTCTCAGACCCATCCCCAGAATGCTTTAGGTGCACACTTCCCAGAAGCTGGCTGAAGGCTTACACACACACACACACACACACACACACACACACACACACACACACACACGCCTGCTGCCCCATGTGGTGAACCCATCATTCATCTGTCCTGTCACCCACAGCACCACACTGTCTTACAGAATGTACCAACTCACTAAGTCTGTGTTAAAATGAATGCTTTAGTTACATAGGTGAACAAATCAAATGAGATTTGAGAGGTCCTATAAATAGAATGAAAACATTTACAGACTGGATCACCAAACAGAAATTGATTACACGAAAGGCATTGGGTTGCCTTGCTAGAGCTCCTCTGGGCTCCCCTGTTCAGAGGGCCTCTCCAGAACAAACCCACCACAGGCAGTAACCAAACATGATCCTATTAGAGTTGTCCAGGAAAGCTCTATGGCCTCCCAACATTGCTGACTAGTCTAATGAGCTTTTTTCCAGAGCTGAATTTGATATATGATACCCTCCTTGGACTATATCCAGAGGTATTTAGTTACTGAGGTGCTAAAAGGGGCCTAGAGGATATTGACATGCAGCAAACTCCCTCTGTGGGATGGGTCAGAGGGGTGGCCTGGGGCGGGGGAGGGGTTGCTGTGTGCAGGCAGGATAAGAAGAGAGGCCCACTTGAACTGTGATGAGCATGCCATGGTTATTGGTGGGACTAAGGCACCTCCTTTTACAGGAAACTTAAAATGTCACAGTGTTGCTCTTTGTGCTTGGTGTAGACTGCTCTTTCACTCTTCACTTCAGTCTTGGAGATGGAGTTACCCAAGAGGCTAAGTAACTGCATGCCATATAGCTCCAAAGTGTCAGGGCTGGCCACTGAACCCAGGGCTTGCTAAAGCCAGTACACTTCTACTGTTCAAAGTCCAGGAAATATTTTAGAGAAGAGTCAGCAAGGCTTGGGGTTGAGCTGAAGCTTAAAAAAATGTTTATTAGCATATATTAGTTGTACAGGGGGCTTCATTGTAACATTTCCATCATATATGCTTACAGTATATCTTGATTAGGTTCATCCCTACCATCATTCTCTCTCATCCCCCCCAACTCCACCTCCCAGCTGAAACGCTTAAATTTGAACTCTGGTAGCACTCTGAGCATTGACAAAGATGTGAAACAGTGAGAACTCAGGTTGTTAGGGGAAGTGTAGACTAGTATCCATTGAAGGAAATTTGTAATTGTCTTCCAAACTTGAATGTGTTTTTCCTCAACAGTCCAACAATTCTACCCCGTAAATATCCTCGACAAACTCTTAGGCTGTGTGTTATAGGTGCAAAAATACTCATAGCACTATTATTCAAAATAGTATTTTTTTTAAAGGTGGGTTGGCATGTAGTTCAGTAGAGCACTTGCCTAGCATGTATGAACCCCTAGGTATGATACCCAGCACTGCACCAATAAATAAATAAATAAATAATAATAATGATTCAAATACCCACTTAGAATGAGTAAGTTGTGGAATACTATACAGCTTTCAAAATGAATGAGTGCTATGTCTTGTTTTTCAAGGATAAATCTTGGAAACATATTAAGTGATAAAAGAGCAAGTTGCAAAAGTGAACAAAATGCCTCATACTATTATTTTTTATAAAAATGAAAGACAATACCAAAGTATTTAGGATTTAGGGATACCTAAACTATCAGTTGACTGATGAAACTGTCAATAAAATAAGGGAATGTGACACATAAAATTCAGCCCAGTGGTCATAGCCAGGGCAAGAGAGACAGGAAATGTTAAGAGCACAAAGTGTTTTTGTAGTGCAGCTAATAACTTGTTTCCTAAGTTGGAAGAAGGGTCTTTGGGTAGATACTCCATTAGGTTTCATAACTTTTATTAATATATTCATAATTTTAAAAGAGAAAAAAGTCAAGCCTGGGGACTGGAAGGAAGCTAGTACTCTGAAATATGTTTGAAATTCTGAAAGGGCAGCAGCACCAATGGGCAGCTGTTACTGTAGATGGGAAGCTTGTCACCTTCTGCCTCGGTTCCCTCTTCTCTAAAACAGGAGTTGTCATATTTGCCTCACAGGGGTCTTGTGAGGATTAAAGGGAAGAATGGAGGTAAAGTGCTGTGCACAGCAAGCTTTGGTGGTCCCAGTGATGGTCCCCAAGAAACCAGGGTGTGTGCACTGAGTGCATACTTGGGAAAGTGTGTGGTGAGATCTGTGGAATAAGGATGGCAGTGTGACTTAATGACCAAAAACAAACAGAACAAAGGGGGGAAGACAATTATTTGGGGTTGGCAGTACTGGGGTTTGAACTTGGGACCTTACTTAGCCAGTAAATTCTTGCTGTAGTTAATACCAAGGGCGACAACTACAACACTTTAAATCAGTCCATGCTTATTTTTCTTTCATTTTTTTCTCTTTAGTACTGGGAAATTTGGTGCTTGTTTTATACCAGGACTGTGTAAGCAAAGTGATCTAACCCTGTATGCCTCCCGGCCTGGGCTCCGGCTGTGGAAGGCCAATGTTCACGGCACTGTTCAAGCACATTTATCCTAAAGACGTCTTTGCTGGAGGAGTCACACCTTTCGAGCTCTACCCACGTCTAGAACCTCCCAACGGAGGAAGTTGCAGCTCACCTGAGAGACACCTAGGGCTTGTTTCATGCTTCTTTCGAGAAGGCTGGGTGTTGAGTTGGAATGAGTACAGTATCTATCTTCTGGACACCATCAACCAGGTGCGTGAAGGGTTTACACCCATCTGTGGTGTTAGGACAGGGGATGCTCACACACAGGACGGTCTGCCTCTGAGCTCTTGGGATGGATTCTAATGCTTTCCCTTTCCTTTGGACAAGGCCAGTCAAGGAAATCAAGTGATCTGGAAACTTTTGTAGATTAAGAAAAAAAAATTTGCTTTTGACATTCACAGTCCTATCCCCTGACAAGAAATTAGGTGTGTTTTTTGTATTTGAGTACAAAATGAAGCTTGTTCTATTGGGATCAAGTTTTTCTTTTCTTTTTTCTTTTTTTTTTGGTTGGTGCTGGGGCTTGAACCCAGGGCACCTAGTGCATGGCACATACTGTATCACTGAGCTCCATCCCCATCTCCTGGCTCATGTATTTTCTGACTACCAAATTACCAGGAGCACATTCAGTGAAAACTCAGATGTGATAGAAACAGTAACTCATGGTATAACCATGCTTTGGCCCTCACGGGATGATGCTGACCCAAGCTGGGTTTCTTCCTCCAGCATGCTCTCTATCTTGTCCTTCTTACTGAATTACTTTTCTTTTTTTCCATTTTTTTAACTTAATGATGTATCTTGGCCAGCCTTCCAGAATCATTATTAAATGATGACAGAAGACAATTTTCTTAAATTAGAGACAGATTTGGACTTTAAACAAAGCTGTTTTGTTTGTTTCTTTTTGCCTGCTTCACTAACTGAATTCTTTACTCCCAGAGTCCAGACTGGCCATCTTGCTCACGTTCCTCCTCCTAGCAAAGCCTTGCTAGAAAAAGTAAAGGGTTTTCACTAGGTGCCAGTGACTCATGCCTGTAATCCTAGCGACTTGGGAGGCTGACATCCAGAGGATTGGTTTGAGGCTAGCCTAGGCAAATAGTTCAGAGCAGAATGGACTGGAGGTATGACTCAAGTAGTAGAGCATATGCTTTGAAGTGCAAAGCCATGAGCGCAAATCCCAATCCCACCAAAAAAAGAAAGGGGAGAGAGAGAGGGAGAGGGAAAGGGAAGGACAAGAGATAGAAAAAAAGAAAAGGAAGGAAAGGAGGGAAGGAATAAGGTAGGGAAAAGGATTGTCTTATCTGATGTGTGTCAGCAGAAAATGAAATACATCTGCTCCCCATTGAAGCCACCAATACTGGTTTGGTAGAAATAAAACTGACTGAGAAGTCTCTCATCTTCCTGGACTTGATTTCCTTACTGTAAAATAGGATGGAATTATGGGGATGCCTTCTGGCCCTGCATTTGTTTCTTTGGTGAGTGAGATTTCCAAAGACATTTTTGGACTCTTTCCCCATTTATAGAGAACGGAATTCTTTTTGAACTTACTAATTCGTGGCCTCAGGATACTTGGTAATTGTGTATTAGTCCTTTCCATCTGAGTACTTCCCCAGTGCTTCACCAAGTAGGTATATGTCACTTCATTCCATAGGCAGGGAAATGGTTGCAGGATGTCTGTGAATAGACGCTGCTGGCTGCCATCAGAGTTGCACATCGTGATACAATGACTGGCAGCTTTTAGAAAATAATCTCCTGTGCTAGCTGTTTGTCAGGGTTACCTGAAAAGTATCAGAGAACTTAGGCTTTCTTTATCTTTTACAGTGGACTAGTCTCTTGTTCACACTATTGGCTGAAAAACAAGAACTGTCTCTAGGTCAGTGTGGACTCAGGATGTCCTGTGTGTTGCCAGGACATCCTGCTGTTTCAGCTAGGAGCCTCCTCCCTCCCCCCTTGTATTCATTCAGAAGCCATGAAATGCAGGCACACTAGTCTTTCCCACTGGGGCACTAGCCTGTCAGCATGTCATTCCAGCCCATGGGAGATGTACTTCACAGAGGTCTGTGAAAAATGCTGTGAGTTACTGGAAGTCCTGGACATTGCCAAAAAAGACAGTTTGTCAGGGACGGCTTCTCGAGTAAGTGGCCTCTGGATAAAATTGGAGCTTCCCCAGTGAACAGGGATAGGAAAGGAATCCAAGCAGAGAGAAAGCACATGATGACTAATGGGCCACCGAGGAGGAGGACTGGGGTTTAGACTGGCACATCCCTTGTACATGAGACATGGCTGAGGCATGAGTGATAGGCAGGCCATGGATGACCAAGGCTCCTACCCTGCCAAGGAGTTTGAGCTCCATGACATAAGGAGTGGGGAGCTAGCAGGTGTGGGGCAGAGAGTGTCTGAGAGGTGGGAGAAGCTCTGCTCCATCAGTGAGTCATGCCACCTTCCTGACAAGTCCTACCACTCTAGGTCATATCTGTTAGATATTACCTAACTTTGAATTGAATCATTATTAAGAATTTCCAGGAAGTTGTTGTAACAAAGTACAACTGTCACTTGAATTATGTGGATTCTTACACATGCTTTTTAAAGCTTTGAACTGCTACTATTGCCTGGTTTCATTATTTATTTATTTATGTTTACAGGCTACAATTGCTGGTTTGGAAGGATCAGGTGATATTGTGTCTGTTTCCTGCACAGAAAATGAAATATTTTTCTTAAAAGGAGATAGGAACATTATAAGAATTTCAAGCAGGCCTGAAGGACAAGCACCAATAGGTTTGTATTCATCATAAAGTGTGTTGTATGTACAATGGGGAGTACTGTACTTAGTGACATGGAATTGCAGCTTATAATTAGTAAACTTACCATTATTTTGGTAGTTAAATTATTAGAGCTTTATTTAAATACGGAGGTATTTGGAGGCTTCTTATGATTCTGGTAATAAGTTTATAATACTTTTCTTAAAAGGTCCCTATTGTAAGGCTTATGTCAGACAGTCTTACAATTGCTGGAGTTGCTTTCCTGGGTGTGAAGTAGGAAGGAGAAATCAGAAAGCAGTTGACTGTTCCTGATACCCTGTCTAAGACAGTATGTGGGGTTATCGCCCCAAAGACAGATTTGCATTTAAACCTATCATTTGGGATATATCATTTGCCCTTATACACAGATCATCTTGTGAGACTGATTTTTCTCTGTACTTTTGTTTTTTGTTTTGTAATCCATACAAGTCCAATTTTTAAGTGTTTGGGTTTTGATTTTGGTTTTTGGTTTTTTTGAGACAGAGTCTCGCTGGCCTTTTTTTTTTTTTTTTTAGTACTGGGGCTTGAACTCAGGGCCTATACCTTGAGCCACTCCACCAGCCCTTTTTTTTGTGTGATGGGTTTTTTTAAGATAGGGTCTCACAGACTGTTGGCCCAGGCTGACTTTGAACCTCAATCTTCCTGATCTCTGCCTCCTGAGTAGCTAGAATTTCAGGCATGAGCCAGTGGAGCTGGCCCAGGCTGTCCTTGAACTCACCATTCTTCTGCCTCAGCCTTTTGAGTGCTAGCATTGTAGGTGTGTGCTAACATGTGTAGCTCTTCTATCTTTTTTGTTCTGTTTTGTTTTGTTTCCAGTGCTGGGTTTCAATCCCAAGGCCTTGTACATGTTAGGCAAGTGCTCTGCCCTGAGATAAATCCCCAGCACCAAGCCTAAATTTTAATAACCAAAGAATTTTAACATTTGTACTCTCCTGCACACATCCATGGAACTTGATATACCTGAGGCTCAATGGTGAACTTGTTCCTGTTGGTAACAACAGCTGTGCAGGTCCCTCCTTATCACTACCACTTACCTATAAGTCATAGAGGACAAGTTGGGATGAATATTCCAAAGGGAGAACTTTTATGAGATGTGAGTAAGCCTGATTCTTGAGTTTATGAGCTGGGGACCCCTAAAACATTGTAAGTAAGGGGCAGTGTGGCTGACAGAAAGAGTAATGACTTTGAGCCATGAGGCTAAGCTCTAGGCCACTGCTGTCCAGCAGGTGGTCACCATCCTTCTGTGGCTGAGGAGCACTTAAAATGTGGAGAGTGCAGTTGAGAAACTGAAATTTAAATTTGTTTTAATTTTAATTAATTTGAGTTTAATTAGCTCTATGTTGCTACTGGCTGCCATATTGGACAGCATAGACCAAGAATGCCTTTAATTTGTATAAGCTGTGACAAGTCACTTTGGATTAGAATCCTGTCCCTCTTGTCCCCAGTGGATACTCCAAAACCCACAGTCTTCCCTTAATGAATGACCCTTAGTAGAATATTCCACAAGGGCAGGAGTCCTAGTGTCTTGTTGACTGCTGTATTCTGGCACTTGTAACAGTGTTTGGCAGCCAGCGGATACAAAAAGATGGCTGAACTAATCAAAGTGGACTGCGGTCTTGTGTTGAGCCATGCTTGCCCTGGTTATCTTGGTGTTGTGTTGAGAGAAGGGAAAGCCCACTGCAGTGGGATGCTCACTGGCTCTTAGGCACAGACTGAGTGCAGGGACTTGTGTTCTATTGTTGGACCCTCACTATGCTCTCTGCTTACATTGACACCACCTTCCTTAATGTGCTTCTCTCTCTTGAGTTCATTCTACCTTTTCCTCCTTGAATTTCCAGAAATTTGATTAGAGGTACACATGTATTTTTCAAATGCCCTTTGAGTAATATTATGAGGTATTATTAAACCATTTTTATACACACTTTTCTCCTTTATAAAGAATTTGCACCCAGGAGCCAATAGCTCACATCTGTAATCCTAGCTAGTTAAGAGGCAGAGATCAAGAGGATCGCTGTTCAAAGCCAGCTTGAACAAATAATTTGAGAGACCCTATCTCAAAAACACCCAAGACAAAAAAGAGCTGACAAAGTGGCTCAAGTGGTAGAGTACCTGACTAGCAAGTATTAGGTCCTGAGTTCAAACCCCAATAGTACCAAAAAGAAAAGGAACTTGTAAATTGAATAAATTGAATTGAGAAGCCCTGTATGCTTAGTGGAATTCTCTGACTAGTGGTATTTATAAGAGACAACTATGGAGAGTTATTTTTCTGGCTTTGATATATATGCTTCCTGGAGAACAAAAACTGTTTGGGACCTTCAGTGGGATTCTTTGAGTTTTGCTGGTTTCTGTGAATTTAGAATTTCTCAGGTTTCAGCAGGCTGGAGCCTCTGTTTCTCTATGAGGGCTAGTATTTAGGACCAGCAAACTGAGTAAGTGTGCATCGACTTTCTCTGGAATGACCAGTAGTAAAACCAAACTCTTCTTTCTCAGTGAGAGATGGTCTGGAGACATCAGGATGTTCAGAGCAAGTCCATGTGCAGTGTCTGGAGAAGCCACTGGGGACTGCAGTTTCTGAGACAAGATTCCGAGGATCCTCTGTGGCAAGCTCAGTGGCCAGTGAACCGCGGAGCAGGAGCAGTTCACTCAACTCCACAGACAGCAGCTCTGGGCTGCTGCCGCCTGGGCTCCAGGCAGCCTCTGAGCTGGGCAAGGGCAGCCAGCCCTCCTCACAGAGATTCAGTGTTATCAGCTCAGAAGACTTTGACCAGGAGCTTGTTGTGAAACCTATCAAAGTGAAGAAGAAGAAGAGGAGGAGGAGGACAGGTACCACTAGCTGAGCACATGCTGTCTCCTGCAGTTCCTGTGGGGCTGTCTGACCAGGCCCTTTGGAAATAAGCACATCTGCCTGGAAGGAAAGTTGCTTCTCACTGAATGGGTGCTTGCCCACTCAGGGAAAAGCAGAGAAGGCCTTCAGAAAACAAACACACTCCTCACTGGAAATATTTCACATACACACACCCACACTCACAGCATCTCTGCCAGGTTAGAGTGGTGGTAGGACTTTAGGACATTCATCCGTGTGCTCATGCCCTGACTAAAAGGACTGAGTTTTGTTCTTTTTAGTGTTTAAATTTTAAATGTTGGCTTATCAATGTATATAGTTCATTATACCAGAGAAATTCTACAAACCTGGGTGGAAAGGTATGGAAATAGGAAGGTTTATGCATGGAACATTTTCATGTTGACATGTTACCAGATATGGGATTTAACATTGGAAGTTTTTAAATTTTTATTTTATTTTTGAATTAGCATACATTAATAATACTAGGATATTTCATTGTAATAAGTGTGTATATACATACAGTGTACTTTGAACAAGTTCACCCTTCCATTACCTTGAACTTTCGAACTTTTTTTTTGTGGTAGTTTTTTTCTTTTTTTTCAGTGGTGCTGGTGTTTGAACTCAGGGCCTTGGGTTTGCTAGGCAGGCTCTCGTACCACTTGAGCCACTCCACTAGTAAAAGTTATTATTATTTTTTTTTTGGAACATTTTACTCCTCCCTAACTTTAGCCTGTCTAGCTAAAGGTCACTGCAGTATTATTAAAGGAGAATGTTACCAGATTCCTAAACGTTTTAATTTTTTCTTATGGTACTGGGGTTTGAACTCAGGGCCTCATACTTGCTAGGCAGTCCCTCTACCAGTTAGCCACTCTCTACCCCTTTAGCATTTTATAATTTAAAAAAATCAGTCTGTGATCCAGTTGAACATGTCACTTTGTTCCCTTCCTACTGTCTCAGCATTTCTCAAATGAGACCTCAGAACCCATCAGTGTATACCATATAAAACATCCTTGCCTTGTGATAATTTGTACTTATAAGATTTAATCTTGGCCAACTAAATATCATTCATTTAAAACATTTTTTCTTGAGCCAAAAAGTTGTTTTTAAGTAGTCTCTTGCTATGTATGTAGTCAAGCCTTACTTTGAATGTTCTCATTTTAAATTAGAAGGCGGAAGCAAGAACACCTGTCATAGTTCCCTCGAATCGACTCCCTGCTCCGAGTTTCCTGATGACAGTCCCCAGTCCTTGAACACAGACCTGCTGTCCATGACCTCAAGTGTTCTGGGTAGTAGTATGGATCAGTTGAGCACAGAGTCTCCCGACCAGGAAAGCACCCTCAGTGGAGTCTTGCAGGAAAATAATGACCCTGAAACATTTAGTGTCCTAGAGGTGCCTGAATCTGCCCCTGACTTCCTGGATGAAGAAAATGACATAAGAACTGAAATTCCACAGTGTACCCACATGCATGAGATGGGGCTGCTCAATGGAATGTTGAATTTACCCTTGCTCCCAAGGGAAGGTGTGGGAAGTGGAAACATCACAGGACTTGAAGAAGAGCCTGGTCCTGCAGGCGAGACAGCAAACCACACACACCTGCCCTTCCGAGAATGGGACAGTTCTGCTGAAGCACATGAGGTAGAAGATGTAGAACCCAGTGACTCCCAAAGTACTTTTCCTGAGGCCCCCTTCCTGGACTCACTCATGGTGCCTTCCAGCCTCATCTGGCCCCCAAGTGCTGAGAAGTGGCTGTCTGGGGCCCGAGCTGATGAAGGCAGTGCTGAGGAGACCAGCAAAGAGAAGGATGTCCGAGCCCAGGTTGAGGCCCCTGGCCACCTTGGCTCAAATTCCTGGCATGCAGTCGCTGACAGTGATACAGGTCAGAAAGAAGCATCCATTCTGGAATGTGACATGGGAAGGGTGGAAGGACAGTTTACTACTCTGTCCTCTGTCTTGGCAGCCAGCACCCATGAGCCTTGGCTGGAGCAGCCTTCTCGGGACCAGGCATTGACATCCAGTGATGAGGAGGACATCTATGCCCAGGGCTCCCATCTTCATCCTCAGAGATGAGTGTGACAGAGGTTGGAGCTAGTCGTTCTCTACAGGACCTGGGCCAGCCAGGTACAGATGACACCACGATGTTCAAGTCAGACCAGGTATGTGGGCTCAGATGGTGGACAGCATAACTAAGGGTTATTTTTTTCTTAAGAAGAATCCCTGAGAAGACTGATTTGTTTCCTTCTTATGGTCTGTTGCAAAAGTGATAGGCCAAATATGTTTTGAAGCTTGGGTTTAAGGGATTTCCAGTGCAGGGACCTTAACTGGTTTGAACTACTTATAACCCCACTCAGTAACCCCAAAGCAGCATCTTTCTGTTTATTTTGACCCAGCAAAGCCAGGGTAGTTAGTGTTTGTCTGGGGCCATCCCAGAAAAGCACTGGGCAGAGAACTGTTTGCTTGTGGATGGACCTCTGGGCAGGTTGGAGGTGGGTGTCTCCTGCCTTCCTCCACAGTCAGATGCCTCCAAGGAGCCATCAACAAGAACTGGGGCTGTTTCCAGCATGGCTGTCTCCTCAGTCTCCACACAGTAGCCCCAGCACTCCCTAACCATCATGTGGGGACCAGGCTTGGGAGCCAAGTTGCCTTCTAGTCCACCCAGCCCATGTAATTAGGGGACGCTTACTAACTGTTCTTGGGCATTTTATATTAAAAAGTGAGTTTTTTAAAGTACTTACTTTCCTTAAGCAAGTAATCATTGTTGGATGTATTGGTTTCAAAACTAAGTATGTATTGTAAGATTTCCTACTAACTGAACGTGAGGTTTGTATTATGGTGTCCACTTTCAGCCATGTGTGCTTTCCCCAAGCACACTGGGTTTCCAATGCTGATAGTGTGTGGCATTGTCAGCTCACACCATGCACAGGAACAGTGCTGAGCACTTCACAAATTTGAGGCACTTCTTTGAAAACAAAACAAACTATGAGACAGGAGCTATTGTTGCCCCCATTTTATGGAGGAGAAAATTTAGGCTCAGAAGACTTAAGTGGCTTACAGAAAGTCATATTGTGAGGGAGGAGCAGAGTGGGCCCTAGGACACTCCCACATTCTCTGTGCTGTTGTACCTCGAGAGAGATTGCTTGTTTTGAGATAAATTGCCAGAAGTTGGACCTGTCATTAGGTCCTCCTGCTTTCATCTTTTCAACCCACTGGTTCCTGAGTGCCCTCGACTGCCGGACTCCGTGTTTGTGCTGGGGACACCACAGTGCAGATGGCAGCTAGTGTGGATTTTGTTGTCTCAAGGGAAGCCAGATGTGTGTTCAGATGGTCCTATTGAGCAGAACTTAGGTAAGGGTTCTGAGCAAAGTGCAGAGCCACAGCAGGCGGTACTGATCAGAACACTGGCCAAAAGACCCTACCTATGGGGTGTGAATTGGGATTCCAGCCAGAAATTCAGGAAACCCCTTACTGAGATGGGAGGGATCCGGCTCTTCGAGGACCCTTCCTCCTCACCTTATCCTGTTCCCAATAGCTTAAAAACCAAGACATTTTGTGGGGTTTTCTTTGGTGAGGGAGGATAAGGCTTGCCACAGTGAGCAGAGCCAGATGGGAAAAGAGTAGGCACCATTCTCTCTGCAGCACTAACTTCCATATTGGGAATTTGTGCAAATAGGTTGATTTTACTTGCAGTTTTAGAAATTTGCTAAAGCTTTGATTTTTAAAAGAATCCTAGCAACAAAATCTTAGTGTACAAGAGTCAGACAGTGTGTCTCAGCCAAGCTTCCTCCAGACGTTCCAAGCCACGGTGTGTGTCCAAGGGTTGGAATAGCACTTGGAAAACAAGATAGTGGTAGTGCTGCCCCCGTAATGCATCTGTTCCAAGTAGACTACAGGAAGTCAATTTGTAATAGGTACTGATGAACTGGCCTTGTGTGGAGCAAGGCTTACTGTAGAGTAAACCAAGGTTCCTCTTCATGTAATGTTCGTCCTAAGCATTACTTAGGAAGGGTGCTGTAGTGTGACAGAATGCTGTCCAGGGACGTTATGGGGGATTTCTTAGGAGACCACAGCTCCTACTTAGAATGTTTCTGAAATGGAGTGGTTAGGAAAAGCAGGGGTAGGTCTCAGCAAAGCTTCCCAAAAATGCTTTCAGCTGGAATACTTTAGTATTCTCCCCACTTTTCTTGTTGACAACAGTATGACAAGTAAATGCAACTATGCCCCCTGCCGCAGAACTCACCGGACTCTGTCTTTGTTAGTTTGCAGAGAGCTGGATGGGCTACTCAGGTCCTGGCTATGGCATACTCAGCTTGGCGGTCTCTGAGAAGTATATCTGGTGCCTGGACTACAAAGGCAGCCTGTTCTGCAGCGCACTGCCTGGTGCCGGACTGCGCTGGCAGAAGTTTGAAGATGCTGTCCAGCAGGTGGCGGTCTCCCCTTCAGGTTGGCCTCCCTGGCTCCCTGTTTCTAACTCAGAGGCATCTCCCCTGCAGCAGCATCAGGCTTCCTATGCTATCAGCAGACTGTCCTTCCCTTGGCCTTGGGGGTTTTTATGAACAACTGGGAATTGTTTCCCTTGATATCAATTAGTATATTGGGTACTCATCTTGTTTTTTTACTTTTTAAATTTTATTATTATTATTATTTTTTATGTGATACTGGGGATTGAATTTAGGGCCTGATACTTGCTAGACAAGCAGTCTACCACTTGAGCTATGCTCCTTGAACTTTTTGCTTTAGTTTGTTTTTGATAGGGTCTGGGGCTTTTGCCTGTGACCCTGCCTTGGACATCCATCCTACCTCTGCCTCCCGAGTAGTTGTCATTGTACAGGTGTGTGCCACCACTCCTGGCCCCATTTATTATTATTATTATTATTATTATTATTATTAATTGCAATGGTAGCACATGAACATATTTTTGTAAGCTATACAAATAATTCAGTTTCAAGAGGCTTTAGGGATGTTAACATATTTAGTCCTTATGAAAATAGCATGTATTTCTATTTGTCAGTGTCACTTTAAAGCAAGCGAGCTAATGTTTTAAAAGGTGACAAAGATAAAGGTGAGTTAGGGGAAGTTCATAGTAAAGTTACAGAGGGGAGGTCCAGAGCCAGAGACTCAGCCTTGTCTGACTTCTATCCCAGTGTCCTCACAAGAAACCAGGTCACAGACCCACCCAGCTCAGATGCAGTAATTCCATTTCACTGGTCCAGAAATGGTCCCTCCCTTTGAGTCCCTGGAGGATTTTTTCCAGCCAGTTCTTGGGCACTAATTGTGCCTCAAGATGTCTGTTTGGCACTTACTCACCTCATCAAACTTACAGTGTTGTTACTATTCCTCTTCCCCTATGATGAGTACCTGCGACACACCCAGCCCCTTGTGCTGTGTCTCTGTGTCTCTTCACCTCCAGCCTTCAGATCATGAAGACAGGCTCATGGATATGTTGGGTACATTCCAATTACTTGGCTTCCATTTTAGAAATTCTTTTTTGATGAGCTGTATGCTCTGGATTAATATACTTCCTGACTGCTAAAGGAAAGTCCCTTTATTGTTTCATGCCATCCCATTTTTAGTGAATGGGAGCAGATATTTCCTGAATGAGGTGTTGCTGGACTGTAACACCTCCCTTATTTGCCTGGAACCATTTACTTGTTTGTTTTTTTCTGAATGTTGGCCACTTCTTTACTTATTCTGGTATGCTGAACAGAGTGGAGCAGAAGCATAGCTGTTTTTTGCCCTACAGTAACCTGGTTTCTTGTTAGACACTGGGATATAAGTCAGACAAGGCTGAGTCTCTGGCTCTGGACCTCTCTGTAATTTTACCATGAACTTCCCCAAACTCACCCTTGTCTTTCTCACCATATGAAATGTTAGATGAGGGCTGGGAATGTAGCTCGTGGTAGAATGCTTGCTTGCCTCGTGTACACAGCCCTGGGTTTCATCTCCAACATTGCAAAAAAGAAAAAAAAAAAGATGGAAAAGGAAACTCTTGCTTTTAAAATATTAGTTTGTTTAGGGTCATTTTGCTTGCTTGCTTTCACTTCTTTCTGGAAAAATATTTTAGAGGTGCTGAGATAATAGCCCACTCCGTTAACTTGGTATTATATGTTTGTATGACTTAATTTTTTTTCCTGTTTCATTTACCTTTGGGTTCATCTCCCTAGCTACTTAGAAACTTTAGTTCTTTCCTGATTGTATTAATTACTTTATATTTTCCAAACTGTTTCATCCGTTCCTTGTTGTTCTGGTTGGAGCTCTCCGTCTCTGTGAGATTAATGTTCTCAGCTGAGACATCCTTCAGGACCCATGTTTTTGGGGATTACCAGAACCCCTGTGCTGTATCGTGTTCAGGGGATGCTATAGGCGTAGCCACCCAACAAACCCTCTAGTCTAGCTCAGCTCATTCTCAGCCATCCCCTGGTGGTTCCTCAACTTGCCTGGCATGGCCTTTGCCACATCCTCCATCTATAGTGCCCTCTGTCTTACTTCCTCCTGTTCTCCCCTCCTTCATCTGTTCTCAGAATTCCTTACTGAGTGAAATCAGGCACAGATGCAGCTCTTCCATTAGCTGATCTAGAAGCTGCCCCTCCCTTTGAAATCCTGCCAGTCGTCAAGCACTAATTGTGCCTCAAGATGTCTATTTGGGCACTTACCTCATCAAATTTATGATGTTGTCACTACTCTTCTTCCCTTATGATGAGTACCGGTGACACACCCAGCTCTGTGTGCTGTGTCATGGATCTCTTCACCTCCAGCCTTTAGATTAGTCTTGGAAAGTGGAGATGACCCCCCACTTCACAGATGGGGAAAATGAGGCTTGGACACATTCAGAGACATGATGCTCCTAGCTGGTGGGTGGTGGACAAAAGTTGAAATCATAGCACTGTAGGCTTTACCCCCAGTTAGAGTAGAAGCAATAGGGTATGCCCAGAATGAAGTTTTTGTGTAGATAATTCTAATATATATTGGACAATGAATGGAATTTTTATTACCACAGGAGCTCTTCTCTGGAAGATTGAACAGAAATCAAATCGCGCTTTCGCTTGTGGGAAAGTAACCATCAAGGGAAAGCGGCACTGGTATGAAGCTTTGCCCCAAGCGGTGTTTGTGGCCTTGAGTGATGACACAGCCTGGATCATTAGGACCAATGGAGACCTATACCTGCAGACAGGTAGCTGGAGTTCTGTATGGTATCTTAGCCTGTTGCCAAACCCACTTTGATAGCCATACACTCAGAATAGTCATACAATTCAGAGTTCAAAACCAATTTAAATGAAAACACTTCTAGAAAGAGTGTTTTCTATGGAATGTATTAGTAGTTTCCTGCTACTGACAAAGATTCAGCCTGGGACAAATTTAGGGCAAAAATTGATATTTCTTCTGAGGTACAGAAGCAGAATTATATTATCCTCACAGCTAGCCACTGCATATCACATGTCTTGCAGCATAAAACCTTGGGAGGTAAGAATAATTCAGATGAGTTAGAATCATTTCCCTCTTGAAGCTTAAGTGGTTGTTTTTTGGGTTTTTTTTTTTTCTGCCATGGTAGGTCCCAGCTCCTATAACACATACTTACTTGTGGGTCAGGGAAAAACAACAAGAAATAATTTGCTCTAAATAGCAGTTCAACTTGTCATAGGAAACTGCCATTAGGGAAACCTTTAGCTGCTAGAAGTGGCACAGTGGGACTTGTTTATTAAAAGTAAACTGTAATGAGTCAATGTTTATGTACTGTCAGCACAATGGGAAATGGTTTCCAGCAGCAGTGTGATCCATCAGGGCCCAGTAAGAACTGGGGACAGGATTTCTGGTTAGGTTGTCAAGAGACTATATTGGATTTATATAGAGATCAATCTTCCTAACATTTAATACTGCTGATTCTGAGAGCATGACCTCATCTCTGTTATGGACCATCAGCCAGGGACAGTTCTTCAGATCCAAGGCTTTTGCTCTTCGGCTCTCTCCCGGGTATGGAGGAGTCTCCAGCTCGGATGGGTGGCCTTGCCAGCTTTGTGGCCATGTGCCTACCCTGGCCTAGTTCCTGCATCCTCCTTTAAGTGAAAATAGCTCTGGTGAGTTTTTGTCATGATAGGAAGGGTGGAGGTATAGGGTGCTTGGAGCCTTGGGGGTGAGGAGGTGGTAACCTAGTCAGTGGTGCCCAAACGATCATCAGGGCAGTGGTTTCAGGTGAACCTGACTCCACTGGACCTGCTGAATTAGAGCCTCTGGGGTAAAGCCCAAGTATTTGTAGTAGGAAGTTCTGCAGGTGACACCCACCTATAGAAGTACCATGAATGCTTTTGTGATTATAGTACTAAGATCTAATTACAGGCTGAGGCCATGGAACATGGAGTTTAGGCAACTGCTGTTCTGACAGCTCCCTTAGGCGTGGCCTTTGAGCTCATAGACACTTGTTACTGATAGGCCACCAAGAGGTGAGTAAAAGAACCCTGGAGCTCTGCCCTGCCATGGCCTTGCAGTGTGACAGACCTCAGATTTCATCTGAGAAATGAGAGGTTTGCATTTTAGCAGTGGAACTCCACACTGGTGAAGCAGAGAAGAGGGAAACCAATCTGTCAGAGCGGATCTGGAGAGTTCCTATGGCAGCTGAGGCCACTCTTCCTTGCCCTGAGGAGCACAGCTTTCTTGGCAGAAGGGTGGCCCTACATACTCTTGACGAAAGCTGACTGCTTTCCTGCCCTTGATTTTCCTGTTCTTCCTTTAGAATTTCTTAAGCTACTTTGGGACACCAGAGAATTCTGAATTGTATTCCTTTAATTTCCAAAGAATGCCTAAAACTGCCACAGAGAGATGTCACATTGAAGTGGAATTTACCATTTTTTGTTGATTAAACCTTAAAAAGAAAAAGCATTCATTATGAAAGAACATCACAAAGTAACAAAAAAAACCAACATTAAATGTCAGAGTCAGCATGAGGTGGAAGTGCTAATGGTGAGGCTTTGGGGTCTCCTTCCCCTCTCCCTGGCAGGTCTCAGTGTGGATCGCCCCTGTGCCCGAGCCGTGAAGGTCGACTGTCCATACCCACTGTCCCAGATCACAGCCCGGAATAGTGTGGTGTGGGCACTGACAGAACAGAGAGCACTCCTGTACCGGGAGGGTGTGAGCAGCTTCTGTCCCGAAGGGGAGCAGTGGAAGTGTGACATCGTCAGGTATGGGCTAGGTTGTCATCACGTTTGTCCTCTCTCTGTGCTTTTGTTGGCTTGACTCTCCACCTGGCACCCATGAGATCCTTTTCTGGCAAAGCCAGTCCCCAAAAGTTATGTGGTAATAGGGTTCTTTCACAGTGTCAGAGCCAACTTTGCTGCCTCATCTTGGGAATATTCTGTACCCATTTCTGCCAGCAGACTGGATGTCAGGTCAGAGTTCACTTTAAAAAAGAGTTCAAACCTCACTCAGTACCACCACCAAAAAAAAAAAAAAAAAATCAGTTCAAAAAAGCATCTGGGGCTGGGAGTGTAGCTCATGTAGTAACATGCTTGCCCACAAGGCCCTGGGTTCAATCTCCAGTGCTGTGAATACTACTGCTACTACTACTACTACTGATACTAACATGGCTACCCTTACGCATCGCCAAGTCATCTCTCACAGTGGTCTCCACACAGAGCTCAGCGTCTATAAAATACAGATTCTTTTCTGTATTTTTACCCTAGTGAATTGAAATGGATTTTGGAACTGTAATGTAGTAGTTTAGATTTTACCATTCAAGATTTATTTTAGTTCTTTAAAAAAATCAGCTCAGAATGGTCTTAATTTGGATTTAGCCATCCAACACCTACTACGACCTCTGAGTGTCTAGAGCCTGGGTGTGCCGAGTTGATGGAGAGTCAGCCCTGCCCTTATCCACTGCCAGTCTAGTGAGGAGCCACATATCGGGGTCCTAGATGAGGCATGGAGTGCATAGCACTGAGGAGCTGTTGATTGTATGCAGAGGTTGGGGTGGCAGCATGCTATGGACAGTCATGGCCAAGCCTCAGATCTGAGAAGGACATCACCAAATGGAGGAGGGGAAGGGCAAACCCAACAGAGAGGATAATGTCTGTCTTGGGACAGCTGCACAACACAGCTTGGCAGGTCGGGGAGTTTATAGTCACTTCTTGGGGAAAGAAGAACTAGAGAGATGGGGTGCTCAGTGAGCCTTAGGTGCCATTCACATTGTCTTAGGTGGTTTTCTCTTGGAGCTTGCCTCACCATTCTGGGCCTTCAGTATGTCTTCCAGAAGTTGTCAGATACACACTGGGTGCTAGTGGCTCATGCCTGTAATTTTAGCTACTCAGGAGGCAGAGATCAGGAGGATCATAGTTCAAAGCCAACCCAGGCAAATAGTTTGCGAGACCCTATCTCAAAAAAAACCCATCACAAAAATAAGGCTGGTGGAGTGGCTCAGGGTGAAGGCCCTGAGTTCAAACCCTAGTAAAAAAAAAAAAAAGAAGTTTTCACATGTCCGAATAATTTATGTTGTACAGCAGTGTCACTTGAACTCACACCTCCTTCCTTGGCACTTGATGGTCCACTCCTGTGAGTAGAGTCAAGCACTCCATACACCAAGCCTGCCCAGAGACACACTATGAGGTAGTCCTCTGCATGTTGACTCCATATTCTCTTGCTCATTTTCAGTGAAAGGCAAGCTTTGGAGCCTGTTTGCATAACTCTGGGAGACCAGCACACTCTCTGGGCCCTGGATGTCCATGGCAAGCTGTGGTTCAGAACTGGCATGGTTCCCAAGAAGCCCCAAGGAGATGATGACCACTGGTGGCAGGTAGGTACCCGGAGTTCTTTGACTCAGGGATTCTACTCCTCTTTCTACTTCCTCTCTTATTCTTCAAAGATTGGATTAATTGATACTGTTCACTTTTACTATTCAGGTTAGACTTTCCTGTTTGAGTACACTAAAAACAGCAGACTTTTCATCAAGGAAACTTACAAAGTTTCCGTTGCTTAATGCAGGCTTTATTTATTTATTTATTTAGGAGTTATTTAGAAATTCATCACTGATAGGCTAAATAAACCCAGTGACATCGTTTGAAAATGTAGGTAATAATGATATTTAATTCTGAACAAACATGCTAAGAAAAGAGACTAGATAATAGGTTTGAAAACTCAACCCACAATTAAAAGTCATCTATCTCTGCTTGTTTGAAAGGCCTCTAAGTAAGTGGTATTTCCACAAAGAAAGAATTTTCTCACGTGCTCCCAGGGAGGAGAATGCTGTGAGAAATGGGAGTGTGTAGTCAGCTGACTTTCTAGCCAGAGTGGTCTAGGGTGGCTCTCAAAGGAGCGTCCACTTTCCCTCCCTGGCTGCCATTCAGCGTTAGCATGGCTCCTCAGTCTCACTGTGGGCATGAGGCTGCTCTGGCAGATGTGAAATAGACTTGAGTTTTATGGCCTGCCTCACTGGGGCCTCTCCCAGGTGAAGAGGCAGGAAAAGGAGCGGTGTTCTCCCCGATGAATGTGTATATTGTATATGGATGTCTCTGGTTTGATACTCTAGGTAATATGTGGTACTGTTACACAAGTGATTTTAGAATACCTGCTGTGTACTATAGCCACATGTGTATATATACATATCTATATATGTACTAAGTTCTGTTTTTAAATAGCATAAAAAAACTACTTTTTTTTTTTCTTTTTGGTACTGGTGTTTGAACTCAGGGCCTCATACTTGCTAGGCAGGTGTACTACCACTTGAGCCACTCTGCCAGCCCTAGACATCCTTTGATTATAATATTCAAAGCATTACCCTTAGAGAAATTTAATTTTATAGAACCATCTTAAAGTACTTGGAAGCAGAGGATTTTATTTGTTTGTTTGCTTTTTGTATTACGGGGGGTCGAACTCAGGGCCTCACTCTTGCTAGGAAAGCATGCTACCTGGGTCATTTCACCAACCCTTTTGTATATTGGTTATTTTTTTAGGATAGGGTCTCACTTTATGCCCAGGCCAACCTGGATCGTGATCTTCCTGGCCTCTCAAGTAGCTAGGATTACTAGCTGTGCCCAGTTCCTAGAAGCGGAATTATTTTAAATAGTCTAAGAGTAATTTCTTTGTAGTGCTATAACCAGTGTTATGTTTGGCTACTAAGCCTTTCCTTTCTCTCTCAATTGGCAACCCACTTATATGCCCATCTTGGGAGCTGGGACTGAGTCTGTTACAGTCTTGGCCTGTGGCTTTGGCAGAGTCACTGCTGCCCTGGTGAGAAGAATGCTGTGTGCAGCACAGGCCCTGAGGAGGCACAGAGCTCCCTGAGCTGTCTTTCACACCGGACATGTGCATTAGTCTCTCAGCCATGCAGCCAGGCTGGCCAAGCAATCAGAGAGTGCTAATGTGGCCACAGGCTCTGCAGTAGGGACTGATGTTTTTAAAACTACTATGCCAGCTTCAGTCGGGGCATTGCTCACAACCAGCCTAAGACCTTCCACAGACAAGAAAAGGCAATACTGGTATGTGTAACAGAGGACTGACTTACAATAACTTCCTTTTTGCTTGTTTTGTTTATTATAAATTAAGTTCTTTGCAATAAATGGTGTCACTTTCATTCAGCAGTTCATTGTACATGTCCTGGGAATAAGTCCTAGGAGTAGGGTATTTGTGCTGGTTTCATTCTCTATAATTAAACCCAACATAAAAAACTATGAGTGAAAGTTCTGTGGAGTGAGGCTTTGACCAGTCTTATAAGAACTCCCTTATAATCGCTGCCCAGCAAGGGAGAAGTTTCCCTCAGAGGACATGATGGCCCTGGAGAAGTGTGTCTGGAGGTGTTTGTATGGATGCTTTTCAGGAATGTCATGGAAGCAAGTCACACCTTGGAGCCAGGTGGCTTCTAGATGCCCAGGACCATCCTGATTTAATATGGTGATCTGGTATAATTGTTAGTAGTTCCAGCTAACAGCATAAATTATTTCATCACCCTACTTACGTACTTTTTAAAACTCATATTATGATTTTAAACATTGTACACTGTGGTCCATTGGAAACACCTGAATTTAAAAGCAAAATTATTCTTTTTTTTTTTTATTTTAGTATTAGTATGTATTTTTCCTTTTATAGACAAACATAACATACATATGGTTTCTACCTTATATAAGACAAAGGAGAAAGCTAAACATTCTGCATTTAGCCCAAATACAGCACTAGCTGTGCCACAGATAACCTGGTCCAAAATATGAAATTCTATAGATAGGCCATGGTAATAAATGCATGGTTATGTTAACAGTTTTAAGAAAGGCATGTACTTCCCGAAGTATGTTAAATACACAAATATCAGTTCTATAAATAACAAAAAAATTATTCTTTCTCATACTGATTATCCCACAAACAATACCTGCTTGTCATAACAGATCCATGTAATATAAAAGTGTGGAATGGGAGCATTTCCTTCTATTTCTTTCGTTACATCCAGCCCTTGGATGTAACGATAGCCATCTGTAGGGTTCTGCTAGCTCTCCAGTCCCTGCACAGATGCATGTGTGTTTGGGCATGCACAGGTGCATGTGTTGTCTTGTTGCTGGAGATTCCTGGGTGTGGATGTGCAGAACCTACCCTGGGAGGCAGCTGGGTCCTGTGACCACACTGACAGTCAGCATTACTGATCCTCCCTCCAGGTGAGCATCACAGATTATGTGGTGTTTGACCAGTGCAGCATATTCCAGACCATTATCCATGCCACACACTCAGTGGCCACTGCGGCCCAAGTGCCCGTCGAAAGAGTGGCAGATAAACTGCGCATGGCATTCTGGTCTCAACAGCTTCAGTGCCAACCCAGCCTTCTAGGGGTCAACACCAGCGGCATCTGGATCTCCTCGGGCAAGAATGAATTCCATGTGGCTAAAGGAAGCCTCATAGGTTGGTGGATTACTTTTGTCTTCACATTCACTTTATAGACAGCTTTATTTTTCTTTCTTTCTATTTTATTTTTTTTTCATGGTGCTGTGGATTAAGTCAAGAGCCCTACGCAACATTTTATTTATTTATTTATTTATTATTTGTTTGCAGTACTAGGGTTTGAATTTAGGGCCTCATGCTTGCTGGGCAGATACACTACCACTTGAGCACACCCCAACCTCTCACACAACATTTAAGGAACAGCTTTAAGATCTCAACTTGAAGCAGAAGTGTAGTGCCTGCTGTAGGAAGTGTCTGTGATGGAGGCACTCTGGGCCTTGTGATCAACTGTTTTCTCTCTCATTTTCTCATTTTCTTCTTTCAATCTGTCATTTCTAAAGCTTGGTGTCTGGATAGTGTGTAATCAGTTTCCTGTGGAAACCTATTATGATACAAGAAAAGCAAACAGCATTCATTTTTATGTTGATAATAAACTGAGCACTGGTGGCTCATGCCTTTGTAATCCTAACTACTCGGGAGGCGGAGATCAGGAGGATCTGGGTTCGAAGCCAGCCCAGGCAAATAGTTCATGAGCTCCTATCTTGAAAAACCCAACATGAAAAAGGGCTGGCGGAGTGGCTCAAATGGTCTTGAGAGTCTGCTTAGCAAGCATGAGGCCCTGAGTTGAAACTCTAGTACCACCAAAAAAAAATTAATAAAATAATTTCACATAATGAAAAAAACCCCAAACCTAGGGAGTGTAGTGAGAGAATAGCCTATTTCCTGGAGGGAGAATTATGGCCACTGTTGAACATGAAAGGTACAAGCCAGATCTGTGAATGAGCTTGGAGTTCACTTCTGAGTAAATCTACTGCTTTATGAATTTCCTATTCCTCTCCCCTACCCTGTGTGGCTTCCCTGGACAAGATGTGGCTCAGTTTAACGGTGTTCAGAGAAGTGACTGGCATGCTGTGCTAGCTCATATTGCTTAGTTTAAGGACATTAGAATTAGTTGTAAGAGGTTTTGAAGGCCAGCTGTAGAGTAGAACCAAGTGGGGTTTTTTTTGGTTTTTTTCTTCCTTTAATCCACTGTTCTTATTTGTTCTTTCCAGGCACTTACTGGGATAATGTTGTTCCCCGGGGGACAGCTTCTGCAACAAAATGGGCCTTTGTGTTGGCTTCTGCTGCTCCTACCAAAGAAGGTTGGTCATTCTTATTTAGCCTGGTTAAAAAGTCTACCACAGGGTTAATCAGTTTGGAAAGTTCAGACCATTATTTGCCTACAACCTAGTGGTTGGTGGAATTGCTGTGTAGATCTCAGGACAGAGGATCTGGCAGCGTCATGGACCAGTAGTTCTGTTAGGTGAGCTAAGGGCCCACAGCTGCATAGGCCTGCTCAGGAGAGACACCAACAGAGTGCTAGGAAGGGAAAGCTGAGTCTGAGGTGGAGTCCATCAGAAGGAGGGGCCAGGGTAGCATGCTCATGAGGACCAATAGCAGTTGACCTCCAGTGGCAAGTTGCAGGGCCTGCATCTCCTTTGGGCTCCTCCCACTCATCCAGAGAATTCTTGTCAGCAGCCTCTTTCATCTGGTTTACAGCCTCTGGTTCCTTGAGTTTCACACTTATATCCTATGAATGTCTTGCATCCTAGACTTTCCCTGCAAAGATGGAACTTCTACTAACTTGTGTCTAGGTAAAACCCTTGGCCTCTCAAGAAACATGGGCTTTGCCAGACTCACACCTGTAATCCTAACTACTTGAGAGGCTAAGATGGGAGGATAATGGTTTGAGGCCAGCCTAGGCAAAATGTTTGGGAACCCCTATCTCCAAAACAACTAGAGCAAAATGCAATGGATATGTGGCTCAAGTGGTAGAGTGCCTGGTTTGCAAGCGCAAAAACCTGGCTTTAAACCCTAGTCCAACCAAAAAAAAGAAAACCTAGAAACATGAGCTTTTGAACCAGGAAAGACAGAGCTGCCATCCAGTTGGCTAAGAACCCTGGGCAGTTAGATGGTCTGTGAAGGAAGGAGCCAGAGTCTCCTAGAATTGCATTGTGGGTTAAATGAGAAGACACTGATGTCTATGATGAAGAGGAAGCAGTTTGGTTAGTTCAAGCCCTTAGTCACCAGCATGTAAATGACTTGGTCAGTACAGTAAATGCTAACTCACCAAACTGTTTTAACCACTGTTCTGTCAAAATTTGAAATGGTAAGTTATTTCCTGAGTTTGCCACAACTGCCTGACCTGAGCTGATGGAAAGCCACCTGCAGTCTCCCTGAGCCTCTAACTGTGGTGTGCACATGTGCACTGGGGCATGTTAATGTACTTTCCTGGGGAGCTTCCTAGCTCTTTTGTAACTGCTAGGTAAATATGTGATAGACCCATCACTGGAGGCTTTCTTTTCTTTCTTTCTTTCTCTTTCCTTTCCTTTCCCCTCCCCTCCCCTCCTCTCCCCTCCCCTCCCCTTCCCTTTTTCCTTTCCTTTCCTTCCCTTCCCTTCCCTTTTTCCTTTCTTTCCTTCTTTGCTTTTCTTTCATTTTTTTTTTCAGTACTGGGGATTGAACCCAGGACTTTGTACTTGCTAGGAAGGCACTCTACTACTTGAACCATGCTTCCATTTCTGGAGATTTTCGAAATTCAAAAAAGTTTGAATTCCAAGACGTATCTGGCCACAAATCTTAGATAATACTTTAGGTTATATACTGTTACCAAGGTTTAACTTCTCTAAGGATTATTTGCATTTTAACCAGAATGTGCTAAACCTAAAAGACTCTACTAAAACCACGGGGGACTGAAAGGTATGATTTTTGAAGCAAGGATGGGAAAAGGATTTCCAACCTCCCATGTCTTCTCCCGGAGCCTGCCTGCCCCAGCTGTTCCCAAAAGAGCATGGGAAGCACCTTGGTGCTGTCCTGAGGAACCACCACCCAACTCCTTCCAGGATACAGATTAGCAGCCCTTTCCTTTTGGTGAAATTTAACATTTTATATTAAAAATGTTCTGGTGCCTTTGTTCACATTAAAGACTTTCTAGCCCATTGTAAATGAGAGGTCAGAGCCACTATGCCAACATTTTAGCCATCATAAAATCTTCCATAAAATCTCACAAGCTCTGCTTTCTTTCCATCTCTTTAAAATATCTCAGAATTGATCTTGTTAAGCACTGGTCATGGTGTTTCCCTCTAACTTAAAGTACACTGCAGCTCCTGTCCTTCTGCCTATGTGGATATGGGTGAATGAGTGAGCCAGTGTCTGCAGCCAGGTGCCAGGTGTCTGCTTGAAGGCAAAGGCTGCCTGTGTACTTAAGGCGGGTGAGTAGGGGCAGATAGGGTGCAATGACAAATGTGAGCCTTTTCCACAGGAAGCTTCTTGTGGCTGTGCCAGAGCAGCAAGGACCTGTGCAGTGTCAGTGCCCAGAGTGCACAGTGCCGCCCTTCCACAGTGCAGCTACCCCCCGACGCAGAGATGAGGGCCTATGCTGCCTGCCAGGATGCGCTGTGGGCCTTGGATAGCCTTGGTCAGGTGTTTATCAGGACACTCTCCAAAAGCTGCCCCACGGGCATGTACTGGACGAAGCTGGACCTCTCCCAACTAGGTATGGCCATCTTGTGAGTGTGACAGCGGGTCTTAACTCCCCTAAAATTGCATTTGGATATAACTGGCAGACATGCCCACCCCCAGGTACACCTTGGTGAATTCTTAAATGATGTTTGTCAGTTGCTGGACTTTAGGACATTGACTGGCCACTCTTCCAGATGAAATGGGCCTCTTGATTTTGTAAGGAGCTTCACTTCCCTCACTGCTTATAGTTTGTAGGTTTTCAGAACCTATAGGAGTTACAGGGTGTTCAGAAGTTGCTACTAAGAACTTCTTGAAATAACACTTGATGCAGCTGCCTCTGTCATTCTTTCTGAATATGGACAAAGCTCTGTAACCTTTAAATCTGAAAAGGCGAGTGTGCCCTGGGAGTGGACCAATGTCTCAAAGAGCACCCAACACTGGGAACTATGGGGGCACATGTGGTATTTGTTCTCATTCAGCCAAGATGGAGAGGTGGCATGCGGCTAGTGGCTTCTTTTCTCTGAACCATCCCCACAAGTTGGAGTAAGCTAAGTCTGTTTCATGAAATAGTTCACTCATGGTCTAAGAAATAACAAAAGAAGTCCAGGACATTACGTTACTCTCATTATGTTAAATTCTTAATTGACCCAGCAGCTCATGTGTGGCTTTTCTGGAGGTGGAGGTTGCACCACGTGACTCCCAGAGGTCAGGCTAAGCCTTGAGCTCCTAGTAGCACTATCTGGGGTGCACTTCCCTGATGCAAGGTTTCCTATTGTTGTACACTGACAACCAGTACATTACGGACTTGAATTGGACAAGCATTTAATGATTAATCACATGATCACAAAAATAGGAGGGGTGAGAGAGCAAGAAGACGGGGAGGGCTGCTTGTCTCCCTCCTACACTAATGTGTCCAATCCCCCCCATAAGGTAAGTGTTGCCCCAGTGAGCCTGGGCAAGGCTAGTGACACTGAGCTGTTCTCAGCAGTGGGGCTCCTGCCGGCTGCTGGGGAGAGATAAAGCCCGAAGCCAATCTGGTCTGTAGTAGAAGCAAGCTCTGTGTCACAAATAGAGATTTTCCAGAGTAGTTGTTATTATTTGGGCCTTTGGGCCTCATACCCTATCTTTTGGACCTACTGGTCACTGTGTAGCTGTCTGAAAGTATTTGCCAGCCCCATTACTGACAGGGGGTGGCCAGATGAGGCTGCAACTAGTAGTGGCATGGATGCTGATACTGGGTGAGCTTGCTCTGGGAAGTCTTTCATCAGTTCAGAGATCCACTGGCCCTGAACCTTTCTCCCACAATTCCTACCAGGCCCCTTGGAAGAGGCTGGTAGTTCCCCTTGGGGGTAGAAAGGCCAGGGCTTGGTATGTGTTCTTCCCACTATTGAACCTTAAGAAGTGGGGAAAGCTGTGTTCATTTGCATAATTTGGGTCAGAGGCAAAGCTGTTTCTCCAGCATTTGCCCCTCCAAGGGGAGGGGCTGTGGCACTGAAGTGGGGTGAATGGTGAGTGGGCATTGTGCCAGGTTCCATGCTGCTGGAGTTTGCTACACACACACACAGCTCATTCCTCCCATCTGGCTCAGTCTGGCCCTTTTGGCACTGCTAGCTGGCTAGAGTGTTGCAAGTCTCAGGTATATATTTGGGCACATTTGGGGAGGTAGCCATTCTTTCTAGGGAAAATACCTGACTTTAGTGGAATTGAGTCTCAATTTAAGAGTGAGAGAAAGCAGGAACAAGGCTACTCTTGTGTTGGCCTAGCAGTATTTTGTCTATGCTCTCTGAGGGCTTGATATGTGGACAGAGGAGTGGGAACTTATGGCAGAGGCAGGGCAGAGTGGCAGATGCAGCCAGATGTGTGCAGAGAATTGGGCCCGGGTGAGCTGCTTATCACCTTCAACTTTAGCTTCCGTCCTTTCTAATAGGAACAAGTCACCTCCCCACTCCATCCCACCCCTAAGATGATTCCAGCAAGCCTCCTGTCTAAATTGAGCTGTCTCAGCAGCATGTCCTGCTAGGGGGTGCTCTCAATGGTAGCCCTGGTTCTTGTGCTGGTAGGGATGCACACTTGTGTCACCCCAGTTTGTACCAATGGGAGAGCAATGGATTCCAGCATTGCATGTTGAATGCACTGCCTTTCTTAGTCTTTATCCTGCTCTGAACTTTAGATTTTGTTCACTTATTGGACGATCTGGTTGATGCTGAAATAATGGACAGACTTCTTGCATCTTTTCAATCTCCTAAGAGAATGCAGCAAGTTCAGAGTCTGCAGATTTGTGCTGGGACAGGGGAAGTAGACAGGGTGTATTGGAGCAGTGCTGCCCTTCACTGTACTGGAGCCGTTGCTTGTACCATTCTAGGCAGCAAACTGCAGCCAGGGTTCTGCCAGCAGGCCCTCTCTAGGTATAGTCTGTGTTGCCTGTGGATCAAGAGTATGTTTTAAAATAATTATTTAAATTATGAATTGCAGATTTCTCCCAATACAAATTGCCAAGTCAGCGGCTCCTTAAAGATTAAGTTACAGCTGGGTACAGTGGTGCATAATTGTAATCTCAGTGCTCAAGAAGCTGAAGGAGGAGGATTACAAGTTAGAGGCCAGCCTGTGGTACAGAGTGAGACCCTATCTCAAAAAATAAATAAATAAATAAATAAATAAATAAATAAATAAATAAATAAATAAATAAATAAAATAAAAAGTAATCCTAAAAGGAAAATGTCTCCTTTACTGAATAAAGTATTTTAAAATTTTTTAATTGGATAAAGAAAAACAAACACCAGAGGAAGGTATGGTATTGTCAGGCTGTATTTTGCCCAGGTTAGCAGCTTCAGATGATGCACAGTGACTCCCTGGGCCCATGTGGCTCTGTTTGTGTGTGTGTGTGTGTGTGTGTGTGTGTGTGTGTGTTACTGGGGTTTTGTGCTTGCTGGGCAAGTGCTGTACCATATGAGCCACATCCCCAGCTGACTCTGTTTTCTTTGAGGATGACAGGCCTCAAGCAGAATGGCACTGATCTAGCTGCTTTGCTCTGGGGCTTCACTGTGTTACTCCCCACAGGAGGGAAGAGCTGAGAAGGCTGTTAGTTCTGAAGTGACAGACCACTTCTGTCACTAGAACTCGTTATCACTGCCTAACTCTGAGGGAGCCAGGAAGAGATGAGGGGTGAGGGAGTAGGCTCTGCTGCATATCCCTGTGGAACAGACTCATGTCTGTGTTTAGGGAGGCCTGTCAAGATCCACAGCAGGTAAAACTGCAGAAAAGCAAACCATCAGTTAAACTTTTGTCTTGGATGTGGCTCTTCAATTCAGAATCAGCTGATTTATACACTGAAGTATTTATTCTAGCAGGCTTTATTTGTTCAAAAAGTATGTTCATCTTGTCATGTGACCTCCATGTCCTATTGGCAGTGTTGTTATTTAAATACTGCCAACTCTGGGAGGCTGACCCTGTATGTTCTTGTCACCTTGTGGCTGTTAGCACCCTCAGCTACTGCCTGGAGTTCTCTTAGGGCAGTCTGAAGACTTAAAGTTGTTTTTTAGTGAGTATTTGTTTCTTAGCTTATTCTAGACTACTGCAGAAAGTACTTTGCTTTGACTAGTCCTGATCCTCATATGTAATGTTGGAATTTCATGGAGTCTGTCTGAACTCCTTGGTAAGATATCCTATACGAGATCAAGGAAAGAAAACATACACTTAATTTCAGTATAAGAAAAATCATCAAGAAATACACTAGACAGAGATCAGGAGGATCATGGTTTGAAGCCAGCCCAGGCAAATAGTTCGTGAGACCCTCTCTTGAAAAACCCATCACATAAAAGGGCTGGTGGAGTGGCTCAAGGTGTAGACCCTGAGTTCAAGCCCCAGTACCGCAAAAAAAAAAAGAAAGAAAGAAAGAAAACAGAAGAGAATAGAACCATCCCTTGCTATCCTGGGATGGGGTGTTGGTTCCAAGTCTCTTATATAAAATGGTGTAATATTTGTGTATAGCTTTCTCACATCCTCCAATACACTTTATATCATCTCTAGATGACTTGTAATACCTAATACAATGCAAACACTATATAAATAGTTGTTACACTATATTGTTTAGGAAATAATGACAAGAAAAAAGTCTGTATACAGTTCAGTACAGATGCAGATTTTTGTTATTAAAATCTTTGATCTGTAGTTGATTGGATCCACAGATGGCCAACTGTAACATTTTTGCATAACAGTGAATTAATAGTTTTAAAGTGATGTCATGAAGTCACATGGCAGAACCCATGCTTGGATGTTTTGGGGAATTCATGTGGGGCCGGTGACAACTGTATGAGGACAGCACACTCCTGAATCTGTATACAGTTGCCACACCCAGCCTCATCTTACCACCCCCTCCCACCTCCTCCCCCAAGCATCAGCAGCTGAGCTAGCTTTATGATCTTTTTTGCCACACCTTAAAGTCAAAATGAGCCATCAAAATTAAAAACTTATCAAAAAAAGTTAAAAACTGAAAAAGATTAGATTAGATTCACAATACATAGCTGACAAAAAGACTTGTATTCATAATATACAAGAGCTCCTCTATCTTGTCTAATCACAAGACAATTCAGTTTTTTAAAATGGGCAGACTTGAACAGGCACTCACAAAAGAAGATATACAAATTACCAATAAGCCTAGTAAACGATTCCCAACATCATTCATTAGCAGAGAAGTGCAAGTTAAAGCCATGGTAAGATAAACATCACATCTACTAGAATGGCTGAAAATTAAAAAAAAAAAATGTACCCAGGACTGGGGGTGTGACTCAGTGGTAGAGCACACATAGGTGAGGCCCTGGGTTCAATCTCCAGTAGGGGGAAGTGATCAATAAACCAGTAATGGAGGATTCCTGGCCAGAGCAAGTTCTTTCCTTTTGCTGCTGCAGCCACAGCCGTAAGTATGCTCAGGCTTCTGAAGAGGCTGTGCTTCAGTGTCTTCTAGTATGGTAAAAAGAAGATCTAGTTAGACCCCAGTGAGACCAGTAGAGTTGTCAAAGGCAATTCCCATCAGCAGATCTGGAAGCTGATTAAAGATGGGCCAATCTTCCATTTCCAGGCTCGATGCCAGAAAAACCCCTTGACTTGCTGGAAGATTGCCACATGGGCATAGGTAAGTGGAAGGGTATGGCCAATGCCTGAATGTCCAAGAAGGTAGCCTGGATGAGGAGGAGGTGGATTCTGTGAAGGCTACTCAGGAGGTTTTATGAGTCTAAGAAGATTCACTAGCACAGCCTGTATCTGAAGAAGAGTGTGTTCTAAAACAAGTGGATTCACCTGGAACACATCCATGTCCATGTCCACTGAAGGCAGATGAGCCCCACGAGAAGCTCCTGGCTGAGCAAGTCAGCATGCTTAGGATGCCTTAAGGCCAAGAAGGAGCTGATCATCAAGATTCTGCCCAAAGGGGGAAGAAGTGCAGCTCCCCTCTCATGTCTGTACGTGCACATGTGGCCTTGGTGTTTATACAGATCAGTAATTGAAATAAGTCTTTCTCCACTAAAAACAAAAAAAAACCCTGAGCTGTACAGTAGTGAGGGCATGAGCAACCAAAATTTATATGTCCTGCTGTGGGCATTACACTCAATCCTACTGCATCAGCCTCAGGGTAGAGAGCAGCAACTGGGAGAGACATAAGAGAATTTCTGGGGTGGTGAAATATTCTAAATCTTGATAGGGTATGGGTTGCTCTAGTAGGTTAATTTATCAAAACTGGACTTGAACCCTGAGTATCTGCATTTTGCTGTCTGTAAAACCTCAGAGGTCAGAGGAGGCTGACCTGGATTCAAACCTGTTGTCTGCCCTGTCCTCTCGGCCTCACCACCTTTTAGCCATGTGGATGTGGGCAAATATCTTTATGGTTGGGTCCTACAAGCCTCATATATGAGCTGAGATAGTAGTAACTGCATCAATAGTATGTTTTTTCTTTCTTTCTGGGTTTTGAGCTTGCTAAGTAGGTGTTCTACTGCTTGAGCCACACCCAGGCCTTTTTGCTTTGGCATTTTTTGTGTGTTTGTTTTGTTTTGTGGTACTGCAGTTTGAACTAAGAGCCTCACAATTTTTAGGCAGGTGCTTTGCCACTTGAGCCACTCCACCAGCCCTATTTTGTGTTGGGTATTTGCAAGATAGAGTCTTGCGAACTATTTGCCTGGACTGGCTTCAAACAGATCCTCCTGATCTCTGCCTCCCAAGTAGCTAGGATTATGCGAGCCACCAGCACCTGGCACGCTTTGTCTGTTTTTGAGATAGGTTCTCATGTTTTTACCCAGGCCAGCCTATAGATCTTCCTACTTACACTTCCTACATGGCTGGGATGACAGGTGCAGGGCACCGCCCCCATCTCTTCTGTTAGGATCAGGTCTTAGTAGTTGCAGGACTGGCCGGAATTTTGATCCTTCCAATCTCTACCTCCTGAGTATCTGGGATTGCACTGCACTGTGCTGACTATGAAGTTCAAAATGAGGATATGGAAGACTGCTGAGAGCCTGTCTTCCAGTGGTTGAGTAACTATGACTGTGATGCTTTTTGCAAGATAGACTATTATCAAATGTAGTTTCTTTTTCCCTTTTTGAGGTGCTTGGCAAGCACTCTACTTGAGCCACATCCCTGCCCAAGTTCTTTTTTTTTTTACTTCTCCTTTTTACTTTCCTCTTACAACCAGTTTAATTAACAAAAGACATATAAAAATAAAGAAGATTCTTTAAGAGATGTAGTTAATCTTAATTCTGCCAGTAAATGTGCATTCCCACTCCCCAAACCCAGAATTTATTAGCAATAGTCAGATGTCGGGTGAAGGTAATGATGGGACTCATGCTGAGATCTTTGTCCCAGTGCTAGGTGACTTAGGGCGCTGTGCTGGTGGCATCATGATTACTTTGCCCACAACCTATGTGGAGGGACTGCAGCAGTGCAAATGATGTGCACCAGTGTTCAGCTGCAAGTGCAGCCTTGTCTCTTCCTGTGAAGTGTAAAGTTATCAGACTACGTGATAGGCTATTATCTCACAAAAGTAATTGCTCTTTTTCTTTACAGGAGCCATAAAACTGACAAACTTGGCATGTGGAAATCAGCACATCTGGGCCTGTGATTCCAGGGGTGGAGTTTACTTCCGTGTAGGAACCCAGCCCTTGAACCCCAGTCTGATGCTTCCGGCCTGGATCATGATTGAGCCACCTGTCCAGGTAAGCAAAGTTAACTGGTAGGAACTTCTTCCTTAGCAAGATGGAAGCTATTAAGGTGCTGTAACTGGCAGCAAGGACCACAGCCACCTCATAGGCTTCCCAGCATGTACAGGGAGAGGTGCACAGAGACAGTCTCTAGGTGTTCCAGTGTTGGTGTCCCACACTTAAAATTTGTTTATGAACTTTAAAGCTGAACATGTTATTGAAGACTATCTGAGCCAACACTTGAGTTTTTCCCTCTGAAAATATGTTTTGTTTCTGACTTTTTACAAATGAACATTATGTTTTTAAGAAAAATCAAGTAATACCCAAAAATATAAAGAAAGTAAAAGCCACATAAAATGTTGTCATGGAGATATCTATTATTGGTGCTTTGTGAGTGCCTTTCCTGGTCTTAACAATTTCTGTTTTCTAAGCTGGGCATGGTGTCTGTCCTGTGGCTAATGAGACTCTGTCTCAAAAATAATAAAAGTGGGCTGGGAATATAGCTCAGTGGTAGAGCGCTTTTCTAGCATGTGCCCTGGGTTCAGTCCTCACACACACACAAAAAAAATGTTTGATTTTTCCCTCTGGACTATGGATGCAGCTCACTGGTATAACTTTTTTGGTGGTATAAGGATTTTGAACGTGGGGCCTTGTACTTGCTAGGTTGGTACTCAAGCACTTGAGGCATGCCCCCTAGCCCTTTTTGTTTTAGTTGTTTTTGAGATAGGGTCTCGCTTTTTGCCCAGGTCTGGCCTGGACACAGTCCTCTTATTTATGCTTTTCACATAGTTGAGGTGGCAGGTACATGCTGCTGCACCCAGCTACTGATTGAGATGGGGTCTCAGGACTTTTTGCCTAAGGTGGCCTCCAACCACAATCCTCCTGATCTCTACCTCCTAAGCAGCTAGGATTAGAGGTATGAGCCAGTACACCCAGCCTAGAACTTTTTAAGGAACTGCCAAACTGTTTCCTGCAGTGATTCTGCCATTTTACATTCTCCCAGCAATGCATAAGGGTTCCAGTTTTTCTGTATTCTCAAGCCCCAAAATATTTTTTCTAATTTTTTTCATTCTAGCATCCTAGTAGGTATGAAGTGGTATCTCACTGTTGTTTTGATTTGCATTTACCTAAGGACTAATGATACTGAGCATCTTTTGACATGCTTACTGATCATTTGTATATCTTCTTTCAAGAACTGTATATCTAAATACTTTTCTCATTTTTTAACTGGATTATTTATCTTTTAAGTATTGAGTTATAAGAATTCTTTATATATTCTAGGCCATTACCAGATATGTGATTTGTAAATATTTTCTCCCTTTCTGTGCATTGTCTTTTTCATATCTTCTTGATGTTCTTTGATACACAAAAGGTTTTAATTCTCATGAAATCCAGTTTATCTATTTTACTATGTTGTTTCTTGTGCTTTTTGTGTCATATTTAAGAACTGCTGCCTAATCCAAGGTCATGAAAATTTACACCTGTTTTCGTTTTAGAGTTTTATAGTTTTAGATCTTACATTTAGGTATTTCATCCACTTTGAGTTAAGTTTTATATATGCTGTGAGGTAAGTGTCCGAATTTATTCTTTTACATGTGGATATCCAATTGTACTGACACCATTTATTGAAATTACTATTCTTTATCCATTAAGTTATCTTGGTACTTTTGTCAAAATCTGTTGATCATAAATTTAGGGCTTTCTTACAGGACTATTAGTTTTTTCCAATGGTCTGTATTTTTATCTGTATATGCTATCCTGATTACTCAGCCTTATAATTTTGAAATCAGGAAGTATGAGCCCTTCAATTTCTCTTTTAAGATTATTTTGGTTATTTGTCAATTTTTTTTTTGACAGTATTGGGGTTTGAACTCAGGGTCTCATGCTTGCTAGGCAGGCAGTCTACCACTTGAGTCACTCTGCCAGCCCTTTTTGTGTTGGTTATTTTTGAGATAGTGTCTCACTTTATTTATGCCCGGCCAGCCTGGACTGCAATACTCCATCCATGTGTAGCTGGGGATGACAGGCACAGACCACCTTGCCCAGTCATTGGTTGAGATGGGGTCTGCAAACTTTTTTCCTGAGCTGGCCTTGAACCATGATCCTCTGGATCTGCGTCTCCCAAATAACTAGGATTATAGGCATGAGCTACCACACCAGGCCTGGGCTTTTCTTTGTGTTGTTGTCGTTTGTTTTGTTTAATTACTGATTCATTCTTTATTTGTTATAAGTCTATTCAGTATTTTTTGTTTCTGGACTGAGGGTGTGACTCAAGTGTACAGCCCAGTCCTAGCAAATACAAAGCCCTGAGTAAACCCTAATACGTCCAAAAAAAAAGAATTTTCAATTTCTTCTTGATTCAATTTGAGCAGTCTCTGTCTTTTCAGAAATTTGTTCATTTTATCTGCATTATCTAATTTATTGGTATCCAGTTGCTTATGGTATTCTCATAATTCCTTTATTTCTATAAGGTTGGTAGTAATGTCCCCATTTATTTCTATTATTTTTCTGTATTTCATCTACTTCCATTCCAATATTTTTCTTCCACACATTTGCTTCATAGTGATAATCCTCTGATAGTGTCACTCAATATTTGTCACAATTATGTATCTCTGTGTTCACCTGCTGAGCACTAAGGTGCCAGCCAGCCTTTATAGTACTCCCCTTGTGCAGGCCTAAGTGCTTTAGGGCCCCTCTATCCTCCAATCTTCATGACAATCCAGAAAGTGGCTATTCCTGTCCCAATTTAACAGAGGACCCCTCTGAGGGTTCAGAATGTTGCTGAGGCCTCATCACTGGCAGGTGGCAGAGCTGGGACACAGCAACTATGTGACACCCCAACTTGACTTCCTCCTGTGGCTCTGAGGTCCAAGGTCTATGCCAGGACACTGACTACAGGGCTATGAGGGAGGTGGAAGTGGCACATCACAGGTCAGCAACCTCACAGGTGTATTTAGAAAAAAGCCCACAGGAATCTTCTGTAGAGAGTCTTGGACAAAAGAAAAAAAAAAAAAAGTCCAGGAGTAAGCAGAAAGATGACAATTCAGGAAAGGGATCCAAAAAGTTGGGATAATTTGGTTGAATCCAAGTATTAGGAGTTAAGTAGGGTGTCCAGGTTGGACTGTCACTGACCTTTGTCCTTTGTGTCATCTTTGTTTCTACTCGAACTTCCATGTCTGAACACAGGATACACTCCCAGTTGAAACAGAGGTGGAAGCAGCTGAACAGATGCCATAGAGCACATGAAGTGAAGCAACAGAAACTTTTAAAATTAGCAGGAACTCCTGTATTTATTTTTGTTTCCTATTCTCTTCTCTGGTAAAAACTCCCTCTTCTAGTGATTTTAGGGTGAAGTTTCAACAAAGTATTCAAAACAAATGACTCAGTTTCATACTTGCTAACATTTGGGAGGACTTGGAGAAAATATTTTTAGTTGTTTAGCAACTTAGAAGGTTGGAGTTTGCTACTTCAGCTAAAGAATTCTCTGTCCACGTTCAAGGTACTGCTAAAGCCAGCACAAGTGATGGTGTGATCTTTCACAGTACGGTGGTCCTAAATTAAAGATGAGGATCACCAGGCACCAGCAGCCTACTTGGCCCCACCTCTTCCTTTAAGGGGACCCTAAAGGCCCTGCTCCTTCCTAATCCCATCCTTCTGCTCTTGCCTCCCAGGCCACGCTGCTTGTGCTAGCTAGCTCCCCCTTGTAGACTAGCACCGTCAGCTCTCTAAGGACCATTCCCTCAGCCTGGACTACAGGCCTTGCCTGGCAGAGAAAGCTGTGGAACACAGAGGCTGACACAGTTGGCAAGTAGCCAAATTCACATTTCTAATATTATTTTAAATTTAGGGAGGTTTTTGACTATATGAATAAGAAAAGAGAAATATTCAGAAATGATCATAGATAATGCACATAGGGATGCCAAGGAACAATCCCTCATGGACGCTGTAGTGGGAGACCTAACATGATGAAATTTTTGGAAATGGGGTCTCGCTGTGTAGTCCTGGCCAGTCCTCCTGCCTCAGCCTCCCAAGCAGCTGGGAATACGGATGTACCACCATGCCTGGCAAAGGACCCATCTTTTCTGGGTAACTGTGCTGCCTTCTGATATAAGCCAAGGAAATCTGAATCTCTGCAGGTCCTCCTCCCTCTTCTTTGCTGCTACATCCCCACCAAAGAATTTTAGAGCTACAGGAGACTTAGGAAAACACGGAGCTAGCCACCTCTTCCTGTAGGTGAGGAGAGCAAGCTCACTAGTCTGGGAGCAAGAGAGGGTCCCATGCCATGCCACGAATCCTCAGCTCATCCTGAAGGCCCACAGAGCAAGGGGCAGTGGCACAAGAACCAGTCCCATAGGGGACACTTATGTGCTACCAGAGAGACACAGCAAACCACTGGAACTAAGGCAGAACTGCTGGTCCTGTGCTTCTGAGCCAGGGGCAGAGTGCAAGGAAGCCAGCTGGAATCAGGAATGATACCCAAGTCTGGAGGGGGCCAGAGGCCTCTCACAAGAGGTGCATTGGTGCAAGAACTTGGAAAGTGAGTGGGAGTAAGGGTGAGTGAGGCACGGCAGAGGACAATCTGAGGAGAGGCAACATGAGCCAGGAGCCAAGCCCAGAATCACCCTGCCCCAGGTGGAGTGTCAGCTTCTTTCCTCTGAGGGCCACTGAAAAGCTGCAGCCAAGCTGAGCGGCCTGTTCCAACTGTGTGTAAGGAGGAGCCTGTTCAGAGGCTGTGAACAATGGAACGTTCATCTTCTAGGCTGAGAAAGGGCAGGGGAGATAGAGCTAAAAGAGGCGCTTTTGAAAACACATCGGCAGTTAACAGCACAGGGCGAGGGAGGGGTTCAGCTGTGTGAGAGGGGCCAAGAACTGGTGTGGGAAAGCTGGTGAATTGCATTAGGAGATGGACTTGAGGTGCCTGTGGGCTTCCCAGGCAGGACTGTCCACCAAGGGTCTGGCTGATGGGTCAGATCTCTGTCTCACTGGGCACACTGGTATGGGAAGAACAGAAGCCA